AACAGCGTCGTGGCCGGATGCCATGGGTAGGTACTGTAAACATTGCTCCCTTTCTCTCCCGCCCCTTCAACACAATAGCGTCCAACATAATTGAAGCATGTGAGTCTGTGGCTGCTATATGCCAAACATGGGCAGGATGGATTGCTGGGAAAGAAGAAGAAACAGCTCTGTGTATCTGATTAAGTCACTCATGGGAGATTTATTTTAGATAGTGCAGAAAAAAAGGTTTGTGAATGAATTCGTAGAAGATCAGGCTAGTCTATGAAGCAGTTTGTTTCCGTCTTACCCGGTAGCCGGGATGCTGTCAAACTTCTGTTTCTATAAGTGTTAGTACAAGTTGCTTAAGTATGGCTTTCCCCAGTTTGAGGTGAGTGCATCTCCTTTACTGTGCACTATTCTGCGCTTTGCAAACAAGTCTGGACAGCTTTGTATCTCATCCCTCTTTGGATAAACACAGGCAGGAAATGAATGTGGTTTTACAATGATTCACTCCATACTGGAAGCATTTGCTTTCAAAGAAATCCATTCAAAGCAGCTTTGGCTTCACATGTTTACTATTTTCTCTTGCTTTGGCAGATATGTATCTTTTCATTTGGCCATTTCCTACCTCTAAAACTCACCTTACCATATTTGTTTTTTTCTAACTCACATGGTCACGTCTGGGTTTTAAGGATCTTTTACGAGCTTTCTTTTCCACAGTGTCTTTTCAGAGAACAGGATACAAAGCTTGAATGTTTTCCTTTCTTCTGTCTTTAATTTTGTCTAATTCTTCATCTTTTTTTATGTTTTTTTTTCTATCCTTTTGCTTAATCCTCTCTCCCTCTCTCCGCAGAAACCCATATTTCTACATATTTTCCCTCTGCCCCGCTATCTTTATTAGTGGAAAGTCAAAGTGCCCGAGGCCGAAGCTTAAACCATGCAGTACAGCTGGTTAGGGACTGTCGGCCGGAGTAATGAGCTTTACCTTTAGCTGAACCATAAAGGCTGGTGCTTGCCTTTGGGCATTCCTGCTCTGAAGTTAGGACGGCGCACAAACACACGCACGTGTGAGCCTGACGGTTGTAACAACTTGGGTTCTGTAGTTTTAAATGTTTCCCCTCATCATGTACATTAAGGCAACAAGACCCCAGTTGTTATTAGTGTGTGATCACCGAGTGACCTCTGTGAGGAATCATTAGTTGTGGAGTCTTGACAGAGGTCACCGGGTTCAATTTCAATGTGTGCACTCTGCAGAGATGTTGTGTTTAGGATGTTACATCAGTTTGGTCTCATTTAGTTTAGCAGCTTAATGACCTGCAGTTTAAGACGATGAACTCTGTTGATCTGGATGAAGAAGGAGAGGTGCAGCATGTGTGAAAAACTCGACGTGTTTCAATCAAGTCCTGTTTTGGGATTGTGCTTGGGTGTAATCTGCTCATAATATGAAATGGGCAGCAGCTTAACCTCAACATGCAAGGTGCAAACAAGTTTAACAGCGAGAGGTATAATAAAAGGTGTAAACTGGTATACGACACAAACGCAAATAACGACACTGGAGGTGATCTTGCAGCTGAATCAGAAATCAGAAATTCCTCATATATATATATATATATATATATATATATATATATATATATTGTTTTCAGAACTTTACTTGACTTACCGTATTTTTAGCACTATAAGACGCACTTAAAATCCCTTTGGCTTGTTGAAGAACTGCAGCTATCATAGCCTCGCAGAGTTATTGACTGTTTTGTTTGGCTTAATGCGCCGTATAATCCGGTGCGCCTTATGTATGAAAACAGACGCGAATAGACACCTGCGAAATAATACTGTACTTTTTCCAACTCTCCAGACTCTCCCACGAATCAGTGGGGGGTAATGAACCAGCTGTGTGATTGCCGATGATAACTCGCTAATGCTAGTACTCAGCATGTGCGCTCTGCGATGCGCCGCACATATGTATACTGATACGTATGAGTCCAAGGTAGCGCCACATGAGAAAAAAACTAATTTTTAAGGAGTGGCGGCTTTTATTTAGCCGTGGCGGTCAGTTGCATGCCAACGGTAACCCTGTATAAAGAAGAATACAAAGACACGGCAGCACGCTGTAGAAGCCCGCTAGGCAACGTCAGTCCCATTAAAGGCATTAGATGTACTTCGAAAATAAATCACATCTTGCTCATTTCTCAGCTGATTTTCATGCCGTTTACTTTATTTTGAATGCCAAAACATGTGCCTTTAATACAGAACATTAGATTATTATTTTTTTAATCAAATGATTTTTGTTTCCACTGGAAGATCACTTCCTGTGTCGTTATTTGTGTTCATGTTGTGGCTTTTTGCAATTGTGCATTTTCTGTGCTTCTGTTTTAAGTTTACTTCCGTTGTCATTATCTACGTCCGTGTATTTTTCTCTTGCAAAGTGTTTTGAATATGCAAATCGCCTGACATTTCCCGGTCACCGTAATCATCTGAGTACCTCTAACATTATTACAAGACCTAAGTGTGAGAACTTTCCGTCATTATTCATTAACTGTCTTTTAAATGAACCCTAAAGATTTTTATCCGATCAGCTGACAAGTAATCCGTTTATTTTCTGAAGCAAAAAATGCTGAAAGTCACATTTTCTTTGGGTTTTAGGGTGTTACTAAGAAAAAAAACAAATTTTTGTAAGTCAGTCTCGGCATCGTGACATGATTACAGGGATTTTTTCACTTTGAGTTTGAATTCATAGAGGAAAAAAATAAGCCTACTTAAAAAGGGAGATAAACAAAATGTTGTTGCATGCAACAACAAAGCTGACGGGCTGAAAATAATTAAAAACACTGCAGAAAGTATAATTCAGAACAAATGCATGAATAATAAGAAGTCACACCCATTAGATAAATGTGTGGTAAGCCGCGTGTCCACTTTGTCTTATCTTTTTTTTTGTGTTTGTTTTATTGTCAGCACATTTTCCTCTTTTGGATGCTTTTTTTTCTCGTCGCTTTCTTTGTTTTTTCTTTCTTTTTGTGTCCACAGACTGCAAACATCTGAGACTAAAGTCCTCAGGTTTGATCCTGGCAATTCTTAAAAAGTCAGCAGCAGTAACTGAGATGTGTTTGAGAAATATGAAGCAGCTGCAGACGACACTGGCAGCAATAAAATTGAGAGTCCCACGGTGCCAATTTGAGAACAGAGGGAAGTTTACCAGAGACAACCCAAAGCTAAAGCAATCAATGACTCACCTTTTTCCAAGGAGGAAGACCAAGGATTTAGCCAGATGATTTATAACTGTATCATGAGGCGCAACTACTTTGCAAACATGTCCCTACCTGCCCTGTATGATGTGATCTTTACACGGATTCACAGTCTGAACATCAGTGACAACAAATGACGAAAAGAGCAGATCTGGACCAAACTTTTCATCATCTTTAGACCAAAATGATGGGGTAAGATTGAATCACATCTTGTAAGATCAGGTCCACTTTAATCCCATCCTTATCCACAACATGAGAGTGGCAAAAAAAGTGTGAATGGACTGAAGCAGCTGGAAAGTAGGCAGGTCCTCAAGTCTGCAGTAGTGATCCAGAGGAACCTACAGGATGAGGGAGCTCGGGGACTCCCAGAAAAGACTGAAACTCGTGGCTTTAAGTGGACGTGGTGATTTAAAGTTGCATGCTTGCACTCCTGTGTGTCCACCAGTTCACAGGAACAAAAAAAGAAATGCTTTTCAAAAATGGAAGCAGCCATATTCCTGAACAAAACAACAAATCTTAAGTAAAACCCACATGCAAAAAGACATGCAGTTTTTTCACTTAGCCTTTCATTAAAGAAAAAAACATCTAAATTTAGAGGCTATTTCATCATTTAAAGAGAGAAGAGCTTCATATCAGCTGCAGGTTAAACTCTGTTTAAAGACTCACCTCAATGAAAATCATGTTTTTCTTGTTGTCTACATGTTCATATGACATTTTTCTGATGCTACGGGACATATCAAGAGAAAAGTAAGTGCGAACTTGCATTTCTGAGTATTTCTGCAATCAAATCTAAACAGCAGGTTCAGACACAGTGAGATTTCCTATGTCACAAATCCAAGCTCCGCCCCCAGAGCCCCGCTTTGCAGGCCAGACTCTGAGAAATAGAGAGGACGATCGTGTGCATTAGTGGATTGCGATGCTTGTGAGAAAGCTAATTATGATATTAACTTTCATCATCTCCATAAAGACAGTAGTGTCCGAGAGCTGAATAGCTTGTATATTACCTGCTACTTCTACTACACCATCAACGTTAGGCTGCAGGCTAGCATGAAGAGGAGTGTACAGAGCAGCGCTGTCTCCGCCCACGACAATGGGAGCCATTAAAAATGACACAGGTAATGTGGTTTTGGCTAAAAACTTCCTAAACTTTAACTTAAACACTTTAAAGACACTGAGAACACTTTAAGGAGTAAAAAAAAAAGGTCAGAATGGGACTTAAACACATCTTCACTGCACCATTAACCGTCACACTATCCACTCCCTGGGCTTGGGAACCAAGCATGTGTGGACTAATAATGAGACCAAGAAGTGATGAACAGTGAGACTCAGACAGATCAATAATCCCTGCTAATCCATAATCCCATTATCAGTAACAACAATAGGAAGCAAATGTTACTTTTTCAAGATTTATCCGTTTGCTATCGATCCACTTCACTAACAGCTCATAATCTTTTGTTTTTGAACGACTCTTCTGTGATTCCTGACGCCGGTAAACCAGCGCTGAGTCCTGTGTGTGTGAAGCAGCATACAGTTTGTGTTTACAGGCCTGTTTGTTGACCATACAGCTTGTTCCCATTACCGCACTCAGGCCTAGGTGAACAAGACTCGCCTGTACGATGGTTAGCAGGAAGAGACGCCAGATGCTTTTCATTAGATAGATCAGTGGCGGCAACCATCCTGTGTAATATATCTGTTTTTGTGTTGGGGTAAATAAGAAAAGAAGCCTCGTCTGTGTGCAAACCAGCTCATGTTTGTGTCTCGGAGAGCATCTTGGCCTCCTTAAATAACAGCTAATCCCCTTCTAGTTAGCTCAGTGTTCTGGGATGTGGCAGGTTTGCAGAGACGGTTTCTGTTCAGAGCAGGGCCCACAAGAGTTCCCTGAGAAACCCAGACATCTGTTGTCTGTGAGAAGACAGCGCTCAGGGAGGAGAGCAGGGATTGACTCGGTCCCCACAGTCCCCGTCCACGCCGGCAGCCGCTCCTCTGCTGACTAATTGGTAAGAGGCCTCTGCGTGAGTGAGCGAAGGAGGGGCGTCTGGGTGGCAAGCCAGAGAGGAAGAAGACAGGCCACTTCATTCCCACAGGACGCGGGGACGAGGAGAAGAAGAAAAAGGAGCAGAAAGCTGAAGAAAGGGGAAAAAGAGAGGAGAAAATGGCTGGTTTTGTGTCCTCTTCCTCTCTCTTCTCCTTCCAGACCCAGACTCCAGACTCGCCTCATCCTTGTAATTTAAATTAATTTCTTCCACATTTTCCTCAGGGATTAGCCCCCCAACCGCCCTCTTTTTCTACTCACACACACACACACATTCGGCTTACCCCCACCATAGTTTCTTAATGCTCTCATTATTGGACTAAGTTCCCCCTCACAGCTAACCCCCACCCCTCCTGAACCCCCAACATTTACACACACACTCAGCTTTCTCCAGTGTCGATCTTAAACCATCATTAAGTGTTTCCTCTGATTAAAACAACTCACTTATGTCTCATTCAGACTCATTTTACTGTCCGTCACCACACGCGTTATAAAAAACTGTTAATTAAAACTCTTAAAAGTCGAAGATTTTCTTTTATTTCTGTTTATTTTCCTTCAACTCTCAAACGTTTTCTCAAGAACGACAAGTGATGGCAAGTTTGAGGAGATTAAGGACTCAAATGTCTGTCACAAAAAATCGTCTCACACAGTTTAACATGTTGTGAGTCGAACTCAGCAGGTAAATTCCAGCACGGTTCGCTCACCGTGAGTCCAGGTGTTCGAGTCTGATGCCACACGGGAGCGAGTCACGCTGAGAGGACACGTTAATCACAAACGCTTCAGAATAACAAGTAAACAAAGACGAGAAATGGAGAACAGCACAGACAGGTGTTACTCACATGGCCAGCATCGTACTATTTATCGCGGAATCGTTTTCCTTTTCCACTTTACTCCTGCCAAATTAAAACTACTTACTCTCTGCTTGGATCTGCTGTTGAGCCGTTAAGGCCAGATGTCGACTTGCAGAAAGAAGAGAAGCCAAATGTGCGCTAAACGTGGATTTTCTCTTTATTCTGCAAATTGTACATTCAGTTCAACTTCTTTTTACCCTCCAAGAACACTATAACTTTATAGCAAACTGAAAACACACCTTTTTAGTCTTGCTTTTAACTAAATTTTATATCATTAACTCTGTTGAAGTGTTTTTATCTTTTTCTAGTTTTAATGACAGGATCGTCTTTTATTGAGCTACTTTGGTGCTCTTATTTTAGTATCTTTTACTGTTGTTTTGATTTCATTTTATTTATTATTTCTTTAATTTTATCCTACATTACTTTGTTTAAAGATTTTAACCTAAACCTCCAGTGTTTCCTTATCTTGAGTTTTAAAATGGCGTTTCCTCGGTGCGCACATGCTGTTTCCATGAATTCAAGCCCTTCTTAAGTTTATGCATTTTAATACTGTTTCTGTTGCATTTAGATTGTGGGTTGGGAATGAGGGGTTGTGCCGAGGTCGATAAGATTGATGGATTGATTGAACTTTGAAAGCCACATGTAGCCAGTTATTAATTGTATGTTATTCATTATATCCTATGTAAAAGAGGCCTTCAGAGACACACCTTCCAACCTTCAAAATTTGATGAAAAACTATTTATTTAAAGCTCCTATAAGGAGTTTTTGTGGTTTATAACACATATTGAAATTCATAGTGATGCCTTTTCATGATATTTAAAAGCAAACAAGATAATGAGTGACAAGATTGAAGATTCTTTTATCATAATTTTTGATGCCTGAAATCTGTGTGAGGGGGACGGTGTCAGCCTTGCAACTGAAGAAAAAGACCTGTGTTTATGATTTCTGTGTTAATTTGTAATGTAAGATAGAATGGACTTTTAAAAGTCAGCAGGATGGGTTTTTTTTTATAAGTGATGTCCCAATCTGATGTTGATATCAGATATTGGTCCAATATCTCAGATACAAGCAGTCCATTCCAGAATCCACTTCAGCACCTCTATCTAGCAGAGCCCACCTAATCACAACAACAGTGTGTACTAAGGTACTAACAGAGTAGAAAGGAAGTAGAAGTGATTTTTAGTTAGTTAGTTAGTTAGTTAGTTATTTCGTTAGTTCGTTTGTTATTTGGATCCCCATTAGCTACTACTCAAGTAGCAGCTACTCTTCCTGGGGTCTGTAAGAAGACAGTAAACATTCTTATAGATTAAGATGATAAAAGTCCAAACAGGAGAATTATACAAAATGTTAAAATCAGAACTAAAACAAGAATTATGATGACATTACATTTCCACTTACAACAGACACCAATAAAGGCCAAGATAAATGTACTAGTAATCAGAATCTCATTGGCATGTATTGTATGTGATGTTGGCCGTGTAGCAGTATTTTCCATTTAAGTCCAAAAAAGACGATGCAGCTGAGTGCAACTCTTGTCATACACAATTTTGTGTCAATATCGGATCAATATCGGTATCGGCCAATACTGAAGGCTACAATATAGGTATCGTGTCAGAAGTGAAAAAGTTGTATCGGGACACCCCTAGTTTTTATATGTAAAAGGTCACAACTCAAGCATGTAGAGGACACGATGAACAAAGACTATTTTGTCCACAGGGGGTGCCAAAACTGACCCAAACCAAAAGTTCCGTACAGGAGCTTTAAGATGACTGTAATGGAGATTTTATTGTGGCGTCACTTTGTCCACATGCCTGACATACCTGAGCTCAACTATGAAAAAACAAATCTAAAAGAACTAAACTTACAAAAACCCAGATGGCTTCAACATGAACATTGTACATTTGTCAAATCACAGACTTTTAAATCTGTGTTAATTAAAGGTACATTAAATAATTTGACATCAAAATAGCAGACATCATTTTCAAGCGATCTGATTGGCCGCTTTTAATCGCGCTGTGTGAGAGATCCATGTTTTGATCCTCTCTCTCCTCTTTGAGCTGGAAATGACTCGCCCTCTCCTCCTGATTTACACATGAGAATCTGCTAATGTTGGTTTGACATGTGACATGGGATGTTCAGACTACAGTTTAACTCATAAAGTGGTTTCGGTGGTCGGGAGCTGCAACCAAGCGATTAGTCTGACAGCAAATGAGCCCTAATGTACAACAGATCTCCAAGGCGCTTGTTGAAGGGAAGTGGTTTTACTAAATGGAAATAGTGCAGTGCTAAGAAGCTGGGAACTCTGTGTATCAGCACAGGTGTGTTTTAAGTCAAATACCTTCAGATATTCATGAGGAACTGATGTACGATTTACTCAAGTTTGATAAGATGAAAAAGTTTCTTATTAAACTGCCGTTATTTCTGTGCTAAATGACAAATCAGTCAAAGAAAAAGTCAAAATAAAGTTAATACAAATCAAGTTTTTGCTCTTTGTTGCACTTTTCCTTTCCTGACAGCTTGGTCATGTGACTCGCGGTGACCTACATAGAAAAGGTCACTCAGTCAGAGCGTGCATAAAATACGAGTACAGTTCAATGAATCTGGAGTTGACAAGTAGCCCCGGGCGTCCTAATGAGATCAAAAGATTCTATATTAGCACGTCAGATATGATCTGTAAGTAAATTAGTTTTTTTTTCCTCTCTTCTGTTTTCATTTAAGGAGAGAAAGGGAAGGTAACAGGTAAGCTCAACAAGTCCGCGCTCGTCCCTGTTTCCCAGCTCTGCGAGGTGAGTCACAGGTGAATCACTCACAGTTAAATTACGGTTGAGATGAAAATGTTTGACCAGTTACTATGAGGCCTGTGTTTGAGAGAAAGAAAACATGATGAGGAATGACACGTTTCAGACAGGTGCAGTTAGGTATGAGCGGGGGGAGTTTTCTGGTCCCAATAATGTTCAAGTCAATAAATCTGTCACAAATCCATAATGTTTTGAGGAGGATTTATGAGGATCAGATCTGTTACAGATGCGTAGACTGGTACTGTTATGGTTTTCTTTCTGTAGCATACCCTTTAGATTATTTGATTTATATATAACAGAGGTGTCAGATGTGGTAGATTACATCACTGGATATTTTAGGCAACTGCAAAGAGACATACAAAGATATGATTATATCACTTCCATCTGTCTGCAGCACTGACTCAGCAGGCCTCTATCTGTGAAGATCACGGGTGTAAAACTAATATTCGCATACTGCAAAGCTGCAGCAGAGCTACTTTTTTTTCCCTGTTTGCAGCCCCAATCTGCATCAAATGCATAATTGCAAGGCCAGATATACTTTTACTGAGTGTCAAAAACTTTAGATTTTCCCCTAAACCTTTTCAAAGTTGCAGAATAAGAAAAAAGAAAGCAAAAGAATTGAAGTGGATTACGTTTGATTTTAGCTGAGGAGGTCAGACTGCATATTGTTTTACACATCATGCAAATGGTATCATATTTGCTGTTTTATCTAATCCCATTGGATCCCATTGTATTGCACTGTCTATTTTATCTATTTTTGGCAAATCCTATCCTTTCATAGTGTAAAAAATGGGATATAGTGCAAACTTGTAATGTATTGTATTAGATCGTATTGTATTATACCGTGTTGTATGGTATCAGTTCGTATCATTATCTCTTGTTGTGTGGAGTCATGTCGATTGTGTCGTATTGTATGGTTTCAGGTCATGTTGTGACAGCTGTGTCGAGGTGTGTTGTCTTGTATTGTATCGTATAGTATTGTTTTGGGTCGTATTGTTGTGTTTTATTATCTCGTGTTTGGTATCATAAAATATAGCTGAATTGTTTTGTACCATATCATGTTGTGTCATATTGCGTCACATGGTATCATTTTGTTATGTGGTGTGTCTTTTCCTATCCTATTCTGTACTATCTTGATGTAGTGTCGCAGAGTACCCTATTTTTCAGACTATAAGGTGCACTTACATCCTTACATTTTCTCAAAAACTGACAGTGCGCCTTATAATCCAGCGCGCCTTATGTCTGATTACTTGCTGTCCTTACTGACCAATTTTATGTGGTACAATGCGCTCAAAAATCTGTCAAAATCTTTAAGTACGACTTCATACGTGAGCGTATTTTTCTTTACCAGTATTTTTTGTTACAACTGAGTTAAATAAAATTTGATTTACCGGACTGTGTTGTTTTGCTTAAGGTGCCTTACAATCCTATGATCCTTATGTGTGAACATAGACACGTTAATTTATAGTGCGCCTTATAATCCGGTGCGCTTTATGGCCCGAAAAATACAGTATCATATCATAATAACATGTCTTATAACGTATCATATCGTAATCATATGTATTGTAGAATATCGTATTGTGTTGTTAGGTATCGTATCTATTGTAACATATCATATCATATCGTTTTTCTATGTATTGTAACACATCATATTGTATTGTATTGTATCATATGTATCGTAACATATCGTATCATATTGTTATATGTATCGTAGCATATCGTATTGTATTTTATCGTATCATATGTATTGTAACATATCGTATCATATCGTTATCATATATATTGTAACATATCGTTATCATATGTATTCTAACATATTGTATCATATTGTTATCATATGAATTGTAACATATCGTATCATATCGTTATCATATGTATTGGAACATATCATTATCATATGTATTCTAACATATTGTATCATATTGTTATCATATATATTGTAACATATCGTTATCATATGTATTGGAACATATCGTATCGTATCATATTGTATCCAAGTACTGCATGTGTCGTGTCATATTATATCATAGTTGTATTCAATCATTTCCACATTCTGGGTTTTCATAGTTCTTTTAATGTAGAGAACTCTCTTTATAGATACATTGATACCATCAATCGCATTGTATTACTTTTCATTTATTTTTGTGATCATTTAAATATGAATTTCCGGTTTTCCCTTCTTAATCTAACAGAGACTTTTTTATGTGAAGCTTAAATGGAGCTCAACTGTCTAAACCTTGAGATGAAAAAATAAATGAGATGTGTGTTTGATTTGTCACCTCTGTCAAAATAAAAGTCTTGTGGTGTGAAAACATTAAGAGAGTCAAGACAGTGAGAAAGAAGAAACGAGGAGAATAACCTCCAATCAGAGCCGCAGACACAGGGAGGTGTCGTCTCAACCGTGTTCAACCGGTCATCAAAGACACTCCAAATCCACCTCCTCTCTCTCTCCCTACAAGCCTGCTTCACCAACACCTCCCTCTAGTCCTCCTCCTCCTCCTCCTCCTCCTCCTTCTCCCATTATCTGCTCTCTTAGGGCCGAGCGCACAAGCAGCTAACTGAAGGCAGTTAAAGTCAACCGCTGCTGTGAGCCGGCAGGTTGACAGGTCTGGTTGAACAGGTTCTGAGGGGAGAGGCTGATACTTGTTTAACTGCAAGGTATGGCACTCTGCTGCTGTTGCATTCATGTCTCTCTTCACAGGTAGTCTTCTCCTTGAGAAACACATGCTTTCACCTAGTGACCTGCAAAGACAGAGGTATAAATATTACAGCAGAAAGCAGGGGTAATACATTACTGAAACAGCACACAAATCTGTAACTCCATTGAGAATACAAAGACCTGTTTGAAAGTCGGACAGCTGATCTAACTTCTGTTTTGGAAAAAGGGGGAAACAGTCTCTGAAAAGTATTCACAGTACAATAACTTGGCCTTTGTTGTCATCTGTTCTGGTGGAAAATAACTTTAAAAAGCTTTAAAAGATTTTAACTATTAGGGTTCCATTTTAACCATACACTAACGACCCATGGGGCACCAATGGGCCTGAGCAGTGTCGCACCGCTACCTCTGTAAATTTCGCATTTCGCACCACCTGCCATCCCCCCACATAGTGCTCTCCACAGCAGCTTGAACATTCATGATGGTTGGTTCTTGAGACTGCCTTTGAGTGTTGTAGGTCATTTACTGTGAAAAGACGTCAGAGTTTGAAAGGACGCCATGGCCACGCCCTTTGACCTAAACAGATGATTTTTCGATATGGTCTTCCTCAATGTCTATCCAACAGACTTGAAGAGAAATAACATGAAAAGTGTAAATGGTTTTCTTTGGAGGAGACCATTTGTAGGCACTTGCAAAAATCCCTACTTGTCTTTGATTGTCATAGTAGTATGAAAAAAAATAGATGAAAAAATCATAGTCAAGTAAATAGTCAAAAAAATTTATAATATAGTTTGAATAAAATTTCAAAAAATAGTATGATAAAAATGTCATAGTATAGCATGTTAAAAATATCATAGTATAGTCTAATAAAAATGTCATAGTAAAGTATGATAAAAAAAATGTCATAGTAAAGTATGTAAAAAAAAATCCTAGTAAAGTATGATAAAAAATGTAATGGTATAGTATGTTAAAAAATATCATAGTTTAGTATGATAAAAAATGTCATAGTTCAGTCTGAAAATAATGTCATAGTAAAGTATGATAAAGAATGTCATAGTATAGTATGTTCAAAATATCATAGTATAGTCTGATAAAAATGTCATAGTAAAGTATGATAAAAAAAATGTCAGTAAAGTATGATAAAAAAATCATAGTATAGTATGTTAAAAAAAAAGGTCATGGTATAGTCTGATAAAAATGTCAGAGTATAGTATGATCAACATGTCAGATAATAGTATAATTAAGTTGTCATAACATATTATCATTGATAATGTCATAGTATAGTTTGTTAAAAATATAACAGTATAGTCTGATAAAAAATGTCAGTATAGTATGATAAAAAATGTCATAGAATAGTATGATAAAAAAAAACATAGTATAGTTTGTTTAAAAAATGGCATAGTATAGTATGATCAAAATGTCTGAGAATAGTATAATTAAGTTTTCATAACATACTTTGATTTATAATGTAATGATAAGGTGTGTTAAAAAATATCAATGTATAGTCTGATAAAAATATCATAGTAACATGATAAAAAATGTCATAGGATAGTATGTTAAAATAACATCATAGTATAGTATGACAAAAAATGTCATAGTATAGAATGATAAAAAATGTCATGGTATAGTATGATAGAAAAAATCATACTATAGTATGTTAAAAAATATATTATTATAGTATAATTAAGTTGTCATAACTTATTATGGTTAATAATGTCATGGTTTAGTTTGTTAAAAAAATGTTATAGTGTATTCTGATAAAAAAAATCATAGTTTAGTATGATAAGAAAAATCATAGCAAAGTATAGTATGTTAAAAAAATGTCATGGTATAGTCTGATAAAAATGTCATAGTAAAGTATGACAAAAAAAAGTCATAGTATAGTATGTTGAAAAATATCATAGCATAGTCTGATAAAAATGTCATTGTAAAGTATGATAAAAAAAAAGTCATAGTATAGTATGTTGAAAAATATCATAGTATAGTATGATAAAAAATGTCATAGTATAGTCTAATAAAAACGTCAGAATATAGTATAATTAAGTTGTCATAACATATGATTAATAATGTCATAGTATAGTTTGTTAAAAAATCATTGTATGGTCTGATAAAAATGTCACAGTATAGTATGATAAAAAATGTCATAGTATAGTCTGATAAAAATGTCACAGTATATTATAATAAAAATGTCATAGTATAGTCTGATAAAAATGTCATAGAATAGTATGACAAAAAAATTATAGTATAGTATGATCAAAATGTCAGAGTATAGTATGATAAAAATATGTCATTGTATAGTATGCTAAAAATTGTCATAGTACAGTATGATAAAAAAAAATGTCATAGTATAGTATATTAAAAAAAATCATAGTATAGTATGATCAAAATGTCATACTAAAGTATGATAAAAAAATGTCATAGTATAGTATGTTAAAAAAGGTCATAGTATAGTATGTTGAAAAATATCATAGTATAGTCTGATAAAAATGTCATAGTATAGTATGTTGAAAAATATCATAGTATAGTCTGATAAAAATGTCATAGTAAAGTATGATAAAAAATGTCACAGTATAGTATGATAAAAATGTTAGAATATAGTATAAGTAAGTTGTCATAACATATTGTGATTAATAATGTCATGGTATAGTTTGTTAAAGATATAGTATGGTCTGATAAAAATATCATAGTATAGTATGATCAAAATGTCATAGTATAGTATGATGAAAATATGTCATAGTACAGTATAATAAAAAAAGTCATAGTATAGTATGTAAAAAAAATGTCTTAGTATAGTATGATAAAAATGTCATAGTATAGTATGATATAAATATCACGGTATTATAATAAAAATGTTGTAGTAAGGTATGACAAAAATGTTTTTGTACAGTAGCATCGGCTCGGGCCCTCATATTACACTTTATTCTTTAAATAATTGGAATAACATTGGCTATTATGCATAAATCCATCCAACTGGGATTGTCTTCTTACTCTTAATCTGCTCTGATGTTATAAGAAATGTTCATTTGCCCACTTTTGTGGCCATGTATATATTTTGCACAAATAGTAATGCAAAATTCTGTTCCAAGTATTAAATCTTGATTACGTTCCACTTCAGGTTGAAGCATGCTCTTTGCACTGGTAAATTCAGCTGTTTGTCCAGAGTCTGCACCCTTGTTTCGGTAAAACCACAGCTCAGACACTTTGCAGAGCAGCTAACTCTAAACCCGTAAACACACAGACCACATGAATCAGCAGAGACTGGCTAGGTGAGTGATGATTAAGCAACCTTAAGCCACACATGTAAAAGCCCCATCTGCATTTTTTTCTTTTAACACTTCTTTTTCTCACAGACATGAAAGCTATCGTCATCTGTGGTACGAAACTCACAGAGGGGCATTTGCATAGATGGAATACACCTTCGCGTGGGAGCACACCTGCTGAAAAGACAGGAAACAGAAATGAGGGTGGAAGAGGAGCGACAGCAGGAAGGGAAGAGAGGGTGAAGGGCTCTAGTATGAGTCAATACTTGTTTAAGTTTTAACATAGATAAGTCATTATAATGCCAGCTGTGCATCTGCTGCATAACATGATGTCTGTTTTCACTGAGCCACACAGCTGATTTATGAGACCAGAGTGACAGTCGCTATACAAGGATAGAAAATACTCTGTTTGCTTTGCTCAGTTAAAGCTCCTGTAAGGAACTTTTGGGTTTGCGCTCCTTGTGGACAAAGTAGTTTTTACTTTTTGTGTCCTTTTCATGCTTAACTCGTGTCCTCTGATTTTGTCCGTCTTGTCACTGATGGTCTTGTTTGCTTTTGCATCAATATGAATTTCAGTCTATTTCATAAACATTTCCTCACAGGAGCTTTAATTATCTGTGGGGCTAAAAACAACCCAAAAAAAGCCCATTTAACAGGGTAAATAACTCACCAGGACAGTCTTGACTCTTTTCATTTTATTTTATTTTTCCTGAAACTTTAAAACAGTTTTATTTTACATATTTTCAAAGAAAAGAAAAAGTATATCATGCCCACTTCCTAACCTCTACTCGATAAAAAACTAACCCATTTATAAAAGTCAAACACGTCATCATAAAAAGTGAAACCGTACACCAGAGGGAAACCATTATTTACACAAGCCCATTAAATTACAACATAAATTAGAAAATATTTACATCCAGGACGAGACGCTGGATAAAATTCTATGTTTGGAATTTAATGTCTAATTAAAAACATTTCAAAGAAAGAATATGTACATTTACACTCACTCTCACAACATGCGTACACTCAGGCAGGACTGAAGTGGGTGGGAGGTTGATAGTAACTCAGGTTTCTTTTAAATACTAAGAATGAGGGATACCTAAAGTGGTCACAAAAGTAGAAAGAGTAACAATGGAAGCATTGCTATGCCTGGTATCCACATGAACACTGAAGAGGCTTTAAAGTCTATGGTTTCTGACCGAACACAGACCGACAAACCAAAACTCGTCTTTTTCTCATTCAGGCCTACATAAGATTCAAATCATCTCTCGTGAACAAAGCACAATAACACTGGAGCCATTTTGAAGTGGTTGTACAAATCGAGCACAAAACAGGGGAAAAAAAAAAAACCAAGTGGATTTTCTTCTCTCGCTTTCTCATATAAAAATTGTCCTTTGCAAGTCCATTGAGACACAGGAAATCAGCGGATTTGCCTCCAGACAGAGCAGGAGGGGGGGAAGGAAGCTGGGAGGAATTCACAGCCACAGCAACTCATCTTGAAATGATGTCCTCTGGGGAGACAGAAACAGTATGCACTTTGTTCTTTTTGCTCCTCCTGTCAACAAAGAGCAGGTCCCATGGTTGTAGCTTCAGCACATTGGCAACTGTGTTGAACCGCTTCGTGTTTGTCGTACCATATAGTAAAAAAAAAAAAAGGTGGTGGGCTCCCATTCGGACCAGGACCCGGGCCTTCACCATCGGCTGGAGTTGCAGCAAACTGTGACAAGTTCTCAGAATTTATTGACATCTCAAAAAAAAAGAAAAAGATGGAATTTCACACGTACACACGCTCGCAAAAATGACAATACTTATCAATCGATTTCAAAAAAATGTCCAAAAAAAGGGCAGACAGGGCGGCAAGATCGAGGGGCTCAAGGGGGGGCTCTCAAGTTCATAAGGATCCTCCTTTCTCATTTCCTGTGCTTGTCCATTTTGTCGGTAGATTTGCTCCCACTGTCTGAGGACCCCTGGGTGTCGCTCCCAGAGCTCAGGTACATCTTGTCCACTTGTTTGAGCGCCTCGTTCAGGTAGTTCTGCAGTGAGGTCATGGCGGCGCAGATGGCCGGAGAGCCGAAGCCGTGAGTGATGAGGCTGAAGTGGGTGAGGCAGCCTTGGATCCCGGGCTCCATGATGGGGGCCGGCCGAGAGTTTCCCAGAGGTGAGCGGTCCTGAGTGAGGAGGTCGGTGAACTCTTTGCAGATTTGCCTAAAAAAAAAATCAGAAAACCAGAAAGATTTAGTGAAACCTGCAGGGGGGATTCAATCTGCGAAATCCTCAGATAGTCAGTCCAAATTCAACGCCCACATCAGTGAGAATCCAGACGTGCCAACTTGGTATATCCCATTTAGCTACAGGTCTATTTCTCCACAACTCAAAGGCATTCATCCAGGCCTGACACTTACTTGGCAGCGAGGAGCATGTTCTTGCGAGAGTTGACTTCGTTGCGTTCCACGTGCGGCCTGCCCAGGTATTCGGCGATTGCCTTTGCAGGGAATTCTGTCTCGCACACGTAACCAAAGTCTCTCGCTAAATGTACAGCTTCACCTAAAAAAAAAAGGAGAGAAAAGGTCATTTTACCCCTAAAATCAAACACAAGCGTTTATCTCTATGGGAGAGTTATTAATTCAGAAGTTATGGCTGCATCTGCTCTGACACACTTAGTGAAGATCAAATGGTTTATCTGGCCGGTCTCAGCTTTTTATCAATTCAGAGCATTATACTAGCAGCCCCGTTTTGAACCTGATACACATGAGTGTCAGAGCACATGAAGTGAAGCAGCTGAACTCCAGAATAATCATCCACACACAGTCTTCTAGCTCGGGGACACCAGAGCGACTAAGATGAATATATTTCCCGTCTTGAGGGTGGTTTGACTTGCATGGTCATAATGGGCTTAGTGAAATAAATCTCGCAGAGAGAGCCCCGCGGCCGTAACAGCACCACTTATTGATGAAAGCGCGCATCACTTGAGGACAACGGGCGGCTATTCAGAAGCACAAGCTTTAAGGTCAGCAGACCCTCCTGGCGAGCCGAACACGAGATAACAAGGCTTAATTCAGCTTTGAAGGTCTCTAAATAACACGGGCCTACAGTCATAGTCCTGCACAAAACCATCAGCCCATTTATAAAAATTTAGCATGTGGGGAGCGAGAGAGAGAGGAGGGGGGGATTTTCCTCCTTCGCCTGCAGCAGGTGGATGCGATTAAAGCGATAACTATTCATAGAGAAGTGCTGCAGCCTGGGTAAGGTATGATTATGTTTGTTTAGTGATGACAAGGTGAAGGTGTAGAGTGTGTCAGCATGACGAAACCACTCCTGGAAATAAAGTAACGAGAGATCCGCCACCACGCCGCAAAGGAGCGACATGGAAGAAGATTTGATCAGAAACATGGTGGAAGGAGATGTGGAACGGAGTCAACAACTAAAGTTCGCTGACTGAATAAAACAAGTTCCTCGTTAAAAAAAGAAAACTGGCTGCACTCTCATTGTCTTCATATAATGGGGCGTTTCAACAATGACTGGTGTTTGGACAAATGACTGTTCCACTTCAAACATACGCACATACTCTGTGAGTGAGCTCGACGTTCTCACATATTCACAGCCACATTCCAGTCGCTGCAAACAGCAATTACACCTGAGAAGGTGCTTCGCTAAGCACCGCTGAGTGACATGCCATACCTTCTACGAGTGAGGTAAGTAGAGTTACGTTGGCCGCCTTCCTTCTTCCGGCAGGCAGGTTGAGCCCGATCTTATCCAGCTTTTCTCTCAGAGAACGACCTCCGTTTTTCGACTTGGCTCTGCAGGAGAACAACGAAGAGAACGGGAGAGTCACTCAGAGATAATGCAAGATGGAAAGTTCTCAGAAGTTGTCAGGAGAGTAGAGGGTGAAGAGATGATATGGCACTGATTTCTCTGCATGCAAACCGGATTTTCCTCTCCATTAAGGCCTGAGAGACAGACACTAACACTTTCTCTGAGCTCCTTTACTGTGATGGTTGAAGATCCAGACAGAACATGCAGTTTGAATCATGTTTGTGCGCATTATTTGTTCTTTTTTACAAATTTATCTTACACCACAATTCTTTATTTAAGTATTTAGATGTAAATTTCGCACTTTTACATTGAATTTAACTGTTTCGGTTGAAAAAAGATCACAGAGGAGAGAGGAGAGGCCACTTTATAAGCAAATAAACTCACACTACAACTCAAATTTAAGTTGACTTCATTAAAACTCGAACACAGTTGATGCTCCTGCAGAAAAATCCCTCACACACACAAACACACACGTTTGCAGGAACACTCAAACTCCCCACTCGCCGAGGCCGATTTATTTCTTCTGCCTGACTGAGTGGCGAGCTCTGCCCCTCCACGGCGGGTTCATCTTCAGGGATGCATGTGTGTACGAGTGTCCTCACCCCCTCCTCCTCCACCCCCTCTACCTCCTCCTCCCCCCCTCTGTCCCTCTGCTAACGATCCCCCTCCTATTGCTATATGACCTACTTAAAAATGTCTGTGATTGTGTTTATGTGCGTGTGCATGTCAGCATTAACACGGGCACATGGGAAGTGGCAAACGTGCGGCTCCAAGCACAAATCGCTCCGGTCAGGGGGTGTTGGGTACGTACAGTAACCCCACAGTCCCTCAGCAGACTGCCACACTAACACATGTGCCATAAGGTCAACCGCTCTGCCTCGAATAAACGTACCCATGCTGCAACCCCTGGCAGACGCACAAAAACACACCCACGGAGTCTTTAGATTGGTCCTAAGTGTGTTGATGTAACCTATCCCCAGAGGAAGCGCACAACCAAAATTGCAGACCACACAAAGAATGTCACGAACCTTACGCAAAAAACTGATGAGCTACAGTAACTGAGACAAGCTGTGCTTTCGGAAAAGCTTTACCCATGAGTCTCTGAGCTTTGGTCGACAGCGCCGGGAGTCTTTGTTTTAAGTATTCACAACCAACACGGATAGTTAAACGCTGCTCTGTCCTCCCTGACGCCAAGTTTAACAACGAGATTTAAACATAAGCTTATTCTTACTCAGAGAATAGAGCGTTAAAATCTACTAAAGGAAGCAGATCTCAGTAAATTGAAGGAAAATTACGACAAAAAGAAGCTGAGCTGAGCTAATGCTAGCAGAATCTATGTTTGCACCGGTATGGAGCGTCATAGAAACACTGTTTTTCTTTGACTCCATATCATGCTTCATTTTCAGTTTTTTTCAACTTAATTTGCTTATTTTATGTTCAAAAAATAAAGCTCTAAATTCTGTCGGTTGCTTAGTTTTGTTTAACTTTTCCCACATTGCTTCTGCATCTTAAAACAAAGAAAGTTAATGTATAACAGCAGCTGTAACTAGCTCTATATCATCACCATGTCAGATTATATTTTGGAGAAGAAGAACTTTAGTATTTTGTAAGTGAATGATAAAATGCGGTACCAGATTAGCGCATTTGAGGTTGTTTCAGAGACATTTCAAAAAGTGATATCGCTAAAAGAAGATTAAAACAAAGACATTTTCTTTAAGTTAAAGACTTAAAGACTAGGATGCCCTTACCTGCGTAAAACTCCTCCCAGCAGTGATGCATTCAGGCACTCAGGGGGCGACAGGCGTCTTTGGACTTCGGCTACAGTAACCTTGTACTTGGATGTGGAGCTCAGCAAGGAGAGACGGCCCGGCACCGAGCAGAACACCTCTGTTGGGTTCGATACCATGCCTAGCAGGGACTCTTTCTGGAAAGGAAGACCTAGCGTGTTGCCTTTCGGTAGAGTGACAGGACCTGGAGGGTGAGGAGAGGAAAAACGGGTGAGCTGAAGAGTAAAGAAACACAAAGAAACTATAATTTAAGAAATGTTAAATGCACTTTTTTCTGTGCATGTAAGCTCTAATGATCGAAATCCTTTCTGTGCAAAAATGAATCTGGGTTTTCTTCTAGTTAATCAAAGGGAAGAGTGTGTGTGTGTGTGTGTGCAGCTCTGCACACCAGGGTTTGCTTTTGTGTGCTTTCCCAAACACTGGTGGGTAAAACGGCTTAAACGCCCTCATGCCAGACACAATCCACAAACAGGTACACACACACAGACTGTCACTCATCTCAGCCCCAGATACATCTCAGTGCTGTGTCATACCTGCTCTCACAGGGTCTGGATTTTTGTGTGTTTTTGCCCTGAAGTTTGCCCCCCCCCCCAACCCGACCCGACCACAAAAGCACTGACAGGCATCGGACAAACAAAAACAAGTACAGCACACTACAAAACAAAGCTATCTTCATCCTCACCCGCAAGAATGCCCCCCTGATAATAAGTCCTCTGTAAGCGATCAAGGTTCCTGCCACCTCGTAGTCCTAATACTGAGACAGAAATCACAGAGTCACATGAGTACTTTAGGGCTCCTCTGGGGCACATGGCTGAGAATGACATGCCATTGTTTACAAGTGGAAAACCTAGATCGCCCATAGCGTGCCCTTAAGCATGGGAACAATGTAATGAGCCATTGCTGGTTTACGTAACAAATGGAGAGCGGTTGTTTTATTGTGCTGTATAAATATATATGTCTGATTGTAAATTTGTCTTTAAAGACAGTAAAACTATTTTTACAGTCTTTAAAAAAAACTTTATTTAGTGTTAAATATCACAGAGTAATCGAGTTAGTCAGGCCTGGTAATAACAAACTACAGCATGAGGTTCAGTTTTTATATGATTTGAATTAATTTTAACAGGATTAAATATTATATAATATTTTCAAGAGTTTTAAAGGAGCATATTTATCCTTTTATCTGTCATCTTTATCCCTCTGTATGGTTTAAATAAGCGCATAAAAACCAAAGAAGTGGAATAATTCGTCTGAGGCTGATCTCTCCCTGACTCAAAGTCTGTTTAATGGAGCCCTGATGACAAAACAGCAGGACTGAGTTCTCCTGCAAAACAGTTCATGTCCCAACAAATAACTAAACTGTCCTTCACATGCAAGCCCTTAATGCCACACCCCGCCAAAAGCTGGTTCTGCAGAGCCAAACACTGCGTCAAAGATCAACTCATAATTTCCTGCTAACGTGGACTGAAAAAAGCGCCGCAATTGCAAGCTTAACCAGCCTAAAGATGATCCGAAGCTTTCCTCTTTCTCTCGCAGTCGACGCTGAAGGTTGCTCAATTTTCGTGTCTTGTCAATAAGCCTGTCGTTTTATGAAAGGGATCGCTTTTTTTTCCCACTGGGCAACCATTCAAACACCTTCACCAACAGAATAGGCGGTGGATCATATCAAGCTTAGATAAGTGCATCTCGTGGCTGTGAGGATTACCAGTGTATGCAGTGCAAGTACAAATACAAGACTCCTCCTGTGTTGTATTCCTGCACTGAGTGCCCTGACATGCCACTATAGAAGTAATTGTGATGACAATTCCAAGTATGTGGAGAGTGAAAAAAAAAATACAGTCCTTACGGTAAATTTCCAGCCCTTGCCAGTAATTACTGCAACTTTATTTGGCTGTACAAAGGCACATGTACCCCAGGCAGCAACTTTTTCCTCCCTCCTTGTCGGAGCGCTTTGATTTTTTCTTTTTCCTTTTTTTAAGCTGTTAAAGTTTATATTTAAACATGGGATAAACTCACCTTTTTTGATGACTGTCTGATCTGCCATAATAATACTGTGGTCGTCTACATGCTGATAAAAAAGAAGAAAGAAACAGAGATTAGAAAACACATGCACATGTAGAAGAGTTAGCATGAACTTGAACAGGCAAAAGTGATAATATGCATTCATTAAAAGCACAATAAAATGTCATACTAAATCTGATATTCCCCAAAAAAATAAGTATCATCAATTCCATCTGACTGGGTGACATTAAGGGTAGTTTTTTTTTAATCTCCTGGGATCAAATAAAGCCTCTTTGTTTGCTCATGTGGTATCCTTTAATTAGCATGTGATAGCTGCTCAGTTTGTGTGCATGCAAACACACTAATTCAACACTCATCTCCACACTCACTTGAACATCCTCCAGCCCGTGACCCATGTCGTGCATCCCCATGTTGTCTCCAATCACCGACGACTCGATGCTGTGGTGCGGGGGCAGCAGCTCCGGCCGGCGGAACCCTTCTCTCCTCACCCCGGACGAGCCTCCCTCCAGGCCGAGGATCTGACTCGCCAGCCCGCTCCTCGAGTGAGCTCCGAGCCCATCCTGGCCTTGCCTTCCGGGCCACGGCTGCTGCTGGTTCGACGACGGGGACTGGTGTATGGAGTTGATGTTGAAAGGGTCGCCGAGGTGGGAGTAAGGGTCGCTGGACTGCGGGTAGGAGATGGGCTGGTAAGGGGGCGGGAAGTACGGGGGCTGGAAGTCCGAACTGGCCGAGTGTGAGAGGGAAGGAGACGGGCTGTAGAGGTGTTGGCTGACCGCTGGCAGGTGGGGCAGCCGGGGGTTCCCATTGCTGTTGCCGTCGTGCCTTTCCTGAGGGGACGAAGGAGACATGTCAGCTGAGAAAGGTGACAATAAGACGGCAGGTAGAGTTGACATTTTTACCCTCAGGGTGGGTGAAGTGCCTCTTACCCACCTGAGAATAATAATCCGGGAAAAACGTAAATTTGACCTGGATTAGATGCAGTATTTTCAATGTATAACTCCATTATATGCATTGGCTTTTAAAGATGTTTTTACTTTCTTTATCTTATTTATGTATTAGTTTATTTTTGAATAAGAGCTTCTGCATGAGTGGAGTGTAGAATGAGTGTTATGGCTGTAAGTATATATATGTTTTATAAGTTAAAAATGAAAATGCAAAAGAAGATAAAGACCCCAGGAAGAATAGTTGCTGCATATTTTGTTTTATAAAATGGTGGATCCAAAATAAAACAAATCCAAAACAAACAAACTTACCAAATTTATTGATTCAGTTTAGTGTTACATGACTTAATTGTTCGCCTGGGCGGATGTTGTGAATCAGCCTATCATTTATCAGCCTGTTATTATAAAATAGGGTTTTTACTGCTCTATTGTAATATTCATTTTATAACTGCAGCCTGCGTTTTTCAACTTTTTAACATAATTTCTCATAGTTTTTTTTGTCCTCTTGTTGTTGCCCTTCCTTTATCTTCCATATCTTATCATGCACATGAGATAAAAATCTACACACAGATACTTCTGGAGTTGAAAAGTAAACTTTCTGCTGAAAAGAAACTTCCTTCTCTCTCCGTTTTATGACAAACTCACCTCACAGTCATCTTCATATTTCACGTTGTCGGCTAATTTCCACAACATATTGCAAGAGAAAAAAATACCTCCAATTTTAGACGGAAAGTAGGAAAATTAAAAAAAATATCTGGTGTGTTAATCCAGGTAAAGAAGAAAGGAGAGCTTCCTGGTGATCATGAACCTCCTCGTTGTTCGGAGAAGAGCTGAAGTTGATGTTTGTATGGAGGCTTAAAAGAGCAAAACTGACCGACAGAACTGACAGTCCGACCGCAGATAGGAGTCTCCACAGCCGCTCTGACAGACAATTATCGTCCTCGAACCGATATTTCCCCCCTCTCCGGCCAACGTGCTGTGTAGTTGTGCCGTGGAAGTGGGCGAAAACGGTGCATATAAGAAACTTGACTCCCTCTCATGGACAAAAGAGCGATGTTCAGTCTCATTGGTGCACACGGCAGCACTGACTCTACTTTATCTGCACAGACGGGCAGAGTGGGCGGAACCCTGCCGGATGATGTCAGGGAAAAGGGAACATGAACATATTGCTGATTGGCGGGATAAACGTCCAATCAGAATTCTGTCCGTATGTAGGCCTAAACTGTGCCAGACCTTTAAAAAAACCTCTGATTTTAAGATATTCTACTTTTTTGTTTCTCAATGATTCAAGTATCTTGCCACCAAGTCTTGTCAGTAAATTCTAGTCAGGGCTTTTAATTTGAAGGAGTGCTGCAAGCCCACCTATTTCAGAATAATTCAAAAAAAATTGTATCGGTAGCTATGGTGGCCAAGAACTGCCACTCCTGCAAATGATAAAAGAATGCAAAATAAAAGAAGTCACAAAAAAAGAAGGAAACCGAAGCCCACTGCAAATAAAAATAGAAGCAGTGCAGATAAAAAAGCCACAAAGGAAGTTGAAGCAACAAAAAAAAAAAAAAAAAATGGGGCGATGGAAAAAAACAAGTTACTTACTGCGAAAAATAAAGGGGTGCAAATTAAAAGGCCACAATGGAAGTGAGCTGTCGGGGACCAATAATGAAGATGTAAGTGGAAAGGTTGTTGTTTAATTTCGCTTTGTAAACTTTTTAATTCATCATTTGGTTAGGCCATGTAGCGCCTCAGTTGATATGAAGTTGAACTGAAGCTAACACTACACAGACATCCTCAAGTTTAACTTCATATCGACTCAGGCCCTACATGGCCTAACCAAACGACGAGTTAAAAAGTTTACAAAGCAAAATTAAACTATTACCTTTCCACTTACTTTTTCACCATCATCTTCTGTGCCTAGATCGTAAAACACTGATTTATCATCATTATTGGTCCCCGACAGCTCACTTCTGTTGTGGCTTATTTTTAATTGCATCCTTCTATTTTCGCAGTGAGTAACTCTTTTTTTTTTTTTTTTTTGCATCACCACTTTTTTTGCGTCATTGTATTTTTTTCTTTTTTATTTGCAGTGGGCTTTTGCATCAGTAACATCCATTGTAGTTTCTTTTCTCTTTTTTTTTTGCATTCCTTTTTGTTTGCAGCAGTGGCGGTTCTCGGCCACCATAGACACCAAACCAATACTTATTTTGAAAGTCATTCAGAAACAGCTTTTTTTTAACACACTACAGAGATGTTTGTAATCGGCTAAGAGTCTTGAATATCTATTTAAAGCAAGGGAAGCAAAACCTGAAATAAAAAGTTAAAGTGATCGGTTGCTAGGTTAGTGAGTGCTTATAACTTTCATCGGAATGCCTCTCAACCAATCACAAGCCTGGCTCGAGATGTTCTGAATGGTTTCGTCACACCATACAATAGGGAAGCGATTAATCGTTATAAAAATGTGGGATTGTGTGGGGAAAATGCAATTTAATACTATAAAAAATACATATACTCATGCCCTATATACATATTTTTTATATTCTATATACAAGGTTTGAGGTTTCTTATGTTTTATTTATTTATTTTTACAGGTAACCTATATGGTAATATTTAGTATAATTATTTTAGAGAAAGTAAGTTTTGGTTTTTAATCATAATTGAAATTCTCGTAAGTGAGAATGATTCATTTTTTCTGATGTCTTGCAGGCCAGAGTATAGGCTCATACCCTGCTCTTCTTACCCCTTATACCTCTAATCTAACTTCATTTAATCCTTTTCCCATTATCTACTGACAGAAAATAACTTCTGCCTTTTTTTAAAGTTGAATCTAAGTGAGAAATATCTGATCCTGCTCTTGAATGGGCCTCCAAATAACCCCGTGACAGTCTAATGCCGGTGTTTCACAGTGGTGGTTAAGAGCTTGTTTCAAACCGCAATAAGCCCGAGGGCCCAGCAGCATCATTCTTCCCCAAACCTCTAAAGCTCAAAGGATCCCAACAAAAAAAAAAGAAAACTCTTTCTTCACTTCATTTACATGTTTGGTGGAGCTCTGCAACGTCCAAATCAGGAGTGCTTTGAAGCTTTGATATGCATCTAAAAAACCCCAGAGTGAGGACAAAAGATGTTTGTTTTTCTCTTTGGTTTTAATTATAAGGATCGATAAATCACTTTTAAATCTGATCGGGTTTGTTGCTTTTAGTTATGTTGAAATTTATCTTTTTTCCTCAGTGTAAAAATGAGTGCACCGTGTGCTCATTATAAAGCTATACTTCATTAATTAGAAGAGCAGGCTGCTGAATGTCAGATTATAATTTGTGAGATTATTAGACAGACCTTTGTCTAACAGCCTGTGGCGTCCGTCCACCCACGCTGAGCTGATCGGCTGTGTGGGAACAATCGTGGAGGATTATCTCTCTCTCCATTTTTTTCTTGGACGTGTTGGTCTTTGGCTTGTTGTGATGCAGACTGATTAAATGTCGTTTTACACGTTGAAGAGAGACTCCATTAAAGTTATTCACGCTTGGCCTGACGGTGGTGTTCTGAACTCTCCTGATGATCACAATATCGCTTTAATGACTCAGCTGACACCAGGCGTAAGGATTAAAAGAAATGTCGACCAAATCGATTAATTAGTTGGGCTAAGAGTAATTTTTTTGTACATAAAGAAAAAAAGGGTTAATAAGGGGAGAATTGATCACTTTAATAACTCTATAAGACTGCATCTGATACCAGGCGTAAGGATTAAAATGCTTGAATCGTCACTAAATCGATTAATTAGTTGGGCTAAGTGTGACTTTTTTATATAAAGGGAAAAAAAGGTTCATGAAGGGAAAATTGATCACAATATCACTTTAATAACTCTGTAGATGACTGCAGAGACACCAGGCGTAAGGATTAAAACGCTAAAAATGTCGACCAAATCGATTAATTGGTTGGGTTAAGTCTGATTTTTTTTTATATATAAAGGAAAAAAATGTTTCATTGGGGGAGGATTGATCACAATATCACTTTAATCACTCTATGCAGGGACACCAAGCGTAAGGACTAAAAGGCTTGAAATTTCGACTTAATCGATTAATCAGTTACGCAAGGTGTGATTTTTTAATAAAGAAAAAAAGGTTCACGAGGGGAAAATTGATCACAAAATCACTTTAATCACTCCGTAAGACTGCAGCTGATACCAGGCGTAAGGATTAAAATGCTTAAAATGTCGACTAAATCGATTAATTGGTTATGTTACGTGTGAAAAAATGGTTAATGAGAATTTATCACAGTTTATAAAATGCTTCAAAATGAAACACAATTGGTCCTTTATTGAGATAAACTGACTAAATAATCTCCAAAGAGCTCGGTTTTTATCTTTATTCTGTTCAAACATTTCTGCAGTTGTTAAAAACCTGTATTGAATCATGTTAAGATGATTTTTTTTATTCGAATCTACGCCGATTATTCGATTCCTTTGCTCCCTTTTACATAATCCATAATACTGTAATAGCTGAAGGTTATTAAGACGGAGAGAGAAAAAGAAAACATACCTCTCTGGTATTCAAAGGTGAGCATTTCGGTTTTGTAATCCTCCTATAGCCTAAAACCAAATCTCTCACACTCCATTAAAGATTGATCCCTTCCTCATTGACAATAATCACCGGTTACTCCATAACGCACGCGGCTCCGCGCCATTACGAACAGGTGATTAAAGGTGGAAGTAATAAAAACAAAAACCTACAGAATCAGCAGCAAACACCGATAAACTCGACCCAAAGTCAGCTGTAGGTATAAAGTGAACTCACCCTCCAGTCTATCCTCTCCAGCATAGACATCTGCAGAGCTCCACTCACACAATCCCACTGACACACTGCTGCGCTTCACTGAAACCATCAGAGCTTCACTCGGCACACTTCACCTGGCGTAAGAGCAGCGCTGCGCATGCGCCGTAGTGCGCAATACACCTGAATGAGATAAATCAAAACATACAATCTAGGATGTGAGTGAAAAAACTTGGAGGTGGATGTTATGAGAGGGGATTTCTGTGAAGGGAATAAGGTGGGAATAAAACATGTTTCAAGTGTTTGCTACAGAAGCATTTATATCTTTACTTTTAAAACAGCATATTTTTATTTCTAAAAAATATTCGAAACAACATATAGCTATAGATAGGTAAAGCTTTCTTTCTTTAGCATAAAACAATTAAGAGTTTAATTAATTTACGTTAAATCGAGAGGGAAAAACAAGAAAAAAGTCCGTGCGTAAATTTGGAGATGAGGTAATTCCACCCCCAAAAGCCACACCGCCTCAGGCCGAGCGAAAGAATCTGCTTTCAAAAGCAACTGAAGCTTTTTAAGGCCCAAAATGGCTCCTGTTATCTGATCTGCCAAATACTTTGGCTTTAACTAATGAACAGATCAAAGTGTCTCGGAGAATAGCTCACATATCTTGTTCTGAGAGAATACCTGAGTGATCTGCTGCCCTGACACCTGCCAACAAAATAAACCTCCATCAAACAATCCGCAGAGAGAATAATCCAAGAGCAATGATGGGAGGAGGGATTTGTCGGATTAAGTTACATGAATGTTCATTTAAATCCAAGATCCAACCATCATAATTATTATATTATAGAAACAAACAGCTGTGTGAACCATTTTTCCTTTAGAAATAATTTTAAAAAATTTAATGTTAAATGTAAACAATGTATTTTTGTAGCCTTTTAATGCCTGAAACCACAAATTATGGTCAGAAAATTCATTTATTTTGGAGCTGAAATGTTTATTTTTCTTACTACTGAAAACCAAAAAAATCAAAATGTCCTTAAAATTTAACAAATATATTTATTATCTCGTTTGACATATTTTTGGAATCTGATAAACTACAAGAGGACATTTTTATCATTCAGGTGTTTTTTAGTAATTTTCTGATCATATTGATTTAATATAAGAATATAAAAGTATATATCAAATATGATACAAAATGCAGTAAAAGGTAAACCTTAAGAAATAATTGAAATATAATAAAAAAATAAAATGTTTAATTTGTATCTTTGTAAAGATGTAAGCTGTTCCTACAACTGAAAAAAGGGAAAATAAAATAAAAGACATAGAGAAAAACAGAAAGCTTATTCTATTTTGCTTTTTAATTTTATTATTTTTATTTCCTGTAGAGAGAAACAGGCTTGTCTTAATGCTTAAAATCATTTCGGGGCCCACTCAAAGTGCTACTGAAAAATATAAAACACCTCTGTTTCTGCTTCTGCTCGTTTCCACGGAGTTTCCATGGTAACAGAGAGTTGTAAAAATCAAAAACAAAAACTTACAAGAGTCAGTGTGGTTCTTATTATTGGGGCATTATTTCTCCGTAAACCAGCTCTTCATAGAAAGAGCGAAATAAACAACCAATGTAAAAACATGTCAGAGGAAAGCAGCTGGACGCAGACGAGAGGGCGCAGTGTTTATTTGATTTTTCAGCCGCAGTGATTGGATTATTTATGGTATAACTTACACTTAATGAGAAGCAGGCAGACTCCTCTTTGTTGTTTTACTCTCAAAGACAATGGAGAGAGGCTGCATGTGGTTAAAGTTGGGATAAGACTGACTATGCTGCCACCTAGTGGTCACTGACTCATATTACCAATGCGAGGTAATATGAGCCAGTGTACACATTTAACCCTTTATTGCCTTTTGTATCATATTTGATACATCCTTTTGTATACTTCTATAAAATCAATATGGTCCACAAATTACTGTAAAAACACCTGAAAACAGTCCGATAAATGATAAAAATGTCCTCTTGTAGTTCGAGAAATGATCAATTTTTCAAAGGAACAGAAATATTTGGGGAATTGTTTTCTTAATTTAACCCTCCTCCTGTGTTAGTGTCTGCACCGACCCCTTTTTGATTTTAAATGCTTAAAAGAAACACATGAATTTGCGGTTTTTTGCATCAAGGACATGATTTCAGACGCTCACAGCCTCCTCCCAACAGCACAGTGATTGATGGTCAGGACGTGGAAATTGTAGAGTCCTACAAGTATTTAGGAACCATAATAGACAACAAACTGTCATTTTTTAAAGTAACACTAACACAGTTTAGAAGAAAAGCCGGCAGAGTCTGTTCTGTCTTAGAAAACTCTCAAAATTCCAGCTTCATTCTTATATTGAATCTGTGAGAACTTTTTCTCTGCTCTGTTGGTTTTTATCACTTCAGGTAAAACAGAAAAATGTTCTAAACAAGCTGGTTAATGTCTGCAGGAAAATAACCGGCTCTGTTCAGGGAACTTTACAGGATCTGTAGAACAAACAGCTGTACAAGAAAGCTTAATCCATCCTGTCTGACTGTTCCCATCCTCAACACGATCATCTTCAGTTTCCTCCATCTGGTTTATTGATCAGAGCTCCTCTTGCTTAAACTCACAGATATAAACATTCCTTCAGACCTTCTGCCATCTCTCTTCTCAATTCATGGAGGAAAAGGTCGCTGCTTGTGGTGTTTTGATTAGTTGTATTTTTGATTTTATGTTTTTCTAGTCATGTTGATTTTGGTTATTGTGCTTAAGTGTTTTTTATGCTCTGACAAACAATTTGTCAGGAACCTCTTTTTCAACAAAATAAAAAAACTAACCAGCTGTTTACAAAAACATATATTTCCCCCTCCGTTTACAAAAAAACCCCCAAAACTGGGGGCACACCACTACGTTTTCAGAAAGGTGTTTTCACAAATGATTTATATACTTACTTATTCTATTTATGTTGTATTTTTTTGTTAATATAATTTAATCTAGCTGGAGACTGACTGATATTATTGAGTAAAGGAGAAGGAGTAGGTTTAAAAAAAAGCATAATGCTTCATCCTACTCTTTTTCTGACATGTTGGGTAAGCAGTACTATTATTTGTTTATTTTATTGTAACTTTTTTGCTTTGATTATTATTATTGTTATTTTGAATATTCTCACTGGTTGTTTGTTTTCAGTTTACTTTAGGTGTTGCATGCACATATTTGAAAAAAATGATAAAATGAAAAATGAAATGAAAAGATCTGCAATAACAATTCTGAACATATGATTTACAAAATTCAGGTCTGCTCATGCTGAACACAGACTATGAGACATGGAGAATGTAGTTTTCAGACTTTTGGAATCATACCAGTCAGGCCCCCGGCAGGCCGACACCTTCTCTATTTTTTGCAAAACCTCCTTTCTGATAAACCTGACGGTGAAGTTCGGACTGGTAAAAGTTTGGAGCAGCTGGTTCTTGAGCTGCGATAAGCCTCGACTGCTGGAGGACATGGCACAATAAGCTCCTGTCTTTCCCTCTCTTTACACCATCTGCCTGTTTTTAACTTTAAATTTTCATAACCTATCAAAGTTATAAACCGTATGTCTTCCTGGAAGTTAATAAGCTCCCTTTCCTCATCAGTTCTTCTGGATTGTTGCTGCAGACACCAGCCTGACTCCAGCAGTAGCAAACATTAAAATCAGTTTTTATTGCCTTTTATTACCGCTGTCATAACGCAAATGCTGAAGGATGCCGTTTTCACACCTCTGCATGTAAACACATGTAAGCTGCTGTATGTAATGAGAGCTTTTTATAGATTGTTATAGGTGTGAATTTTCCCCTGAGGGGCAAAACGAGGAGTTGTTGCTGCTGCTGCTGTCACCTCTGGTAATTATTGTTCCTCCACAGCATTGTGAGGCTGAGAAACACGAGCAACAACACATAATAAACGGAGAAATAGAAAAAAAAACACCTCCCCAGTGCACAGCCACCATGTAATGCTCTCCACAGCAGCAGCTTTACTCTTCATGATGGTCGGTATTTATGACTGCCTTTGAGTGTTGTAGGTCATTTACTGTGAAAAGATGTCAGAGTTTGAAAGAACGCCATGGCCACGCCCTTTGACCTAAACAAATGACTTTTTAATGTGGTCTTCTTTAAGGTCTATCTAACAGACTTGAAGGGACATTCCGGCATAAAACACAAGTTAGGACCAAACACACTGTAACACAGAGTTAGACACCCCATTGAGAGATGAATGTTGTTTAGGAGCAGCAAGGGTTTCGTTAAGTGTAGAGGTTTTAACCACAATCACCCACCAGTGATCCTCAAGGGAACGAGATAGAAATCTGTGACCAAGACCAAACCACACTGTTTCATGTACCTCAAGTTCACTGGTACCACAGTGAAGCCTCTACGATATTGCGTTCTCGCCCGCTGCTTGCAGCGTCAGCTCTGGCCTTAAAAAAAAACACATTTTGATCTTATTAAAACAACTCTGAAGACCCAATTTCACCGTTTTTATATTTCACCGTTCATTAAAAAAAAGAGTAAAATTGAGCATGTTGTGAATTTCCTTTTTTCTTGTTCCTGTGACACTCTTAAACTCAACTCAATCAGACTTGAATATATTTTATTTTTTTACTTTTTCTGCTCACATAGATTACAAAAAGAAAAAAAAACTTCTATTGCAAACAAGAAAAACACATTTTAATCTCATTAAAAAAAACTCTAAGGGAAATGAGTATTCAATGTCTATTTTTGAACTTTTAGACCAAAGGCCAACACAACATCTATTTCTGTCTTTGAGAAGTAAAACTCCTGATTCCTTGGGTGTTATTAAAATACAACTGTTGTTTGTATCTATTCAACTGTTTTTACATTTGTTGAATTACTTTCCACTCACCCGGAGACAAAGCCAACTCAAATTACTTAAAAATCCCCTGATGATGTGTTCAAACTCCCACATGTGGACCAGGCTTTTACTAACGGGGGTTATAAGTGGAAAGATCTCTAACCTACTCACCCACATATTCATAGATGATTGTTAAATAAAACAGAGTGGATATTTGAGCAGGTTCACACGAATAAAGCTTTTAAGTGTAACTAAATGTTCAAGTCAAGATATCCCAAATTTAAGTCTTTAGAAACCACTTTAATGAGCAGCTGTCTGTCCATCAGAAGACAGCAGAGCAAGAGAGAAAATAAAGTCCTCCTCACATAAATTCTCCAAGCACCTGTCACTGAGGACACGGCGATACTGCAGAATACATGGGGGAGGGAAAGAAGTGGCATAACAGAGAGTGAACAGCTCAGGGAGCTATTAACGCAAATGTTCACAACATGTAAACACCGGGACACTGAGGACAACGCAAAGTACAGACAAAGTGGAGGATGGGGGGCACACATTCGTAAAAGTTAAAGGGTCCTGTAATAATCTCTCAGTGTGTGAGTGAGTGTGTTTTAGAGGGGTCTCTTTATGCAGAGAGATCTAAAAAGGAAGATTTTAACTCTGAGTGGTGGTCACTAGAAGTGATAGGGAGTGTGGGTGACCCAGTTGGATGTCTGCTCTTTGGTGCGTTTGGCAGAGCTGTGAGTGGTGAACAGGGATTTGAAGGCCTCCGACTTCCCCTCCATTTCCTGGATGGACCTCTTGGAAGAGGAGGATGAAGACAGTTTGGAGCCTTTTGAGGAGCTGGAGGATCCCGAGGGTCCGGCTACGGCTAAATAAAACACAAAAGACAAGAAACAGAAGAAGGTTTTTGAATTTCTTCTTATGACAGTCTCATAAATTAGTGCAGATTTTGACTGAATGTGCATTCTTTACTCCATGGTGTGTAATAAAGAACAGTGAGAAACCTGATTGGCTGCTTTCACCCCCATTTTGGAGGGAGGTCCCTTCTGCTACATCCGCTGGAGGTGATTGTGTGTCTCCTGTAGGGTGACACAAGTCCCAGATTTAATAAGTAGGGATGGTGAAATAAAGCCTCTTGAAGCTTTCTATCCAATCGCTCGACTCCTGGGCCGAAGCTTCATTTGCTCTACCGCGCCATCAAATGGACAATAAATGTAAAACAGGCAGAGTGATTATCAAAGACATCCCAACGCTCTGGTGCGCGAAGCTTTGAATCGAATAAACGAGTGAATGTGACGCCATGAGTTTGTGAGACAATACAAAGATGATGAAGTTATTAATACGGCGTCTGTCTTTACGACACAGTAGCAGGACATAAATTATGGAGAGGGTTGTGATGTGAATGTGTTACTTGTCTTTGCTTTTGTTATGGGGACAACATTTAACACGCAAACATTTCATTTATTTTTATTCAATAATAACTTTTCAACAAGTCTCAAGTCTACCTATTTGGAAGGGGGGGAATCCATTGCATTTCGTTGATAATTCGAATCATCCGCCAAACTCGCAAACCATTTCTTGAAACAGTCACGTGGTAAAGTGGCCAACTCGCAAGGCTTCAAACGTCACTAACAGAAGATTCGATACATATCACTATCAATAAGACGGATTATACATAAAGAAGAACAATAGGATTAAGGATTTTTTAGGTGACTAAAATGAAATTTTTATTTGCTTGAATGTGTTTTTTTTTTTGTGTCAGTAATCATCATAATGAATCCCAGCTGCCTGTCTGCTCTGTTTTATCAGATAATAAACTGAAATTATTATTAGTACTGTAAGTGTTTCTGAGCCAACACCCACTTTCTTTACTGTTGAGCTGAGAGCTGTGGGCTATTCTGGAGAACTAAACAGGAAACCACACCAAGGCTGTGTGAGAACACCGAACAGAGGAGGTCTCTGATCTGAGATTCACAAACACACGAGGTTACAATCGCTCTACCTGTTCGAATACGACAACCACTACAACCCCTCGATATTTATCATCACCATGTATCTGTCTTATACTTTATCATGCACAGGTGGTTAGAGGCTCTTTAATAAAGTCATTTGTGCCCTGAATTTAATAATTCATAACAATAGATGACTTATATGGGCTCTTGATTCAATGTTGGTTTTGGCACTTAGACAGGCTGCTTTTAACTCTGCCTCCCCGGCTCCTGCGGCTCAAACAAAGCCACTCCTTTATGAAAAATATACACAAGCGGTGTTGTTAACTTCTTCCTCCACTCGCAGGACAGCGTCTGATCATCCATTTCTTTGTTTCCACACTCCGGCTTCTACACAATGGTCACGATATGTTTGGATGATGGAGACGTAGACAAACACACTCTAGACTCCTCACGGTATCTTTCCAGTGTGATCTAACTTTATGTCTCTTTTCATTTTTCTTTATCAATAAACATATTTAGCCTTCATCCTGACTGTTTGTCCTTTTTAATTGACCCTGAGAGACTGTAATGTAGCTGGATAATAAATGCACATATTAATAACACAGTCATAGTCGTAGGGATGGGAATTGATAAGATTTTATCGATATCCTGATTCTGCTTATCGGTTCAATTCTTTAACGATTCCATTACTGATGCCTTTCTTTGATTTACGAAAAATTTAGACTACAGGTTTTCACTGTTAACTCAAAATTAAGTGAGTTTCTGATAACAGAAACATAAGTATGAAAAAAATTATCAAACGACAGACTGTTTGTACAGCATTTACTTTGATCGGTATTAATTTTAATCGGGGTGACCACATTCTGAATTCCCAAAAGGAGGACATCGCTATGCGGGGCGGAGTGGTGCGCAAAACTTTGAGAGTTTTTCAGGTCGGGTCAGGTGTTTTTACACGCTTTTAACTCGGTTGGTCCACACTACATAAACTCAAAACTTCCATATAAAACCCCGGAAATTTGAAGGATTTTATAAACTTCTCCGGACAGCCCCCGAAAAAGAGGACATGTCCGGGTAAAAGAGAACATTGTTAAGTTGTTAATACGTATCTTCCATGCCGTGCTGAGACAGAGCAGCAGCGGCTAATATCTGATGCTGTGCCGCGTTGATAAATGTTTAAGCATGTTGCTGGTGTTTCCACCTTTGCATGTTATCACTGCTCGGCAAATGTTACACGTCACGCTGTTGTTATATTTCCAAGTAAAACGAAGCCACGCTTTAGATTGTTTCCGCCTGCTTTTCGTACTGTCTGCCATGTTTTTTCCCTCAAAGTCTCCGTTCTCATTCATGTAGACTGGCTCTCATCAGCCGTTTTTTAAGGCATCCGGAAGAAAAGAATCATTAAAATAAAACGTAAACGATGTCGATGGATTGAACCATCTGGAACCTGTTCTCAACAAGAACCGGTTCTGGATTCCCATTCCTAAATAGTAAAAATTTGTGATTAATAGTTGTATATGCTGGAGTAATTGTTGTACCAAAAGGTCTTTGTTTTGGCTTTTAAAGCAGATTAACTATCATAAGTTTGGGACTGAGAAACGCTCTTTAAGAAATGTTTATTTTATTGTTCTTAAAAGGTAAAAAAAAAAAAGAAAGGCAAATCAAGAGTGGATCAACATGTTATTTTAGGAACATTAATAACCAACACTGGAATAACTTATTCATCATCATCATCGTCGTCATCCATTCATATTGAAGTTGTCAGTTATGTTTTACCCGTTTCATCAGCCGTGTGACTAAAACTTCTCTATAAAACTCCCCTCACTCCTTTACTTGTGGGTTTTTTTTCCTGTGGTTGGGGTAGAGCACCTCATCTTTCTCTGTCGTCATTTCCAACACGATATGTGAGCTAGTATCACGTCTCTGCACTGAAGGAAAGAGTCACTGACCCAGTTTGTGTCGACTCTGTCAGAGAAACGACTACCTGGTATCAATAATTCACCAAAATGTTTTTACTTTCCTTGTTTTAGCCAGATTTATTTCCTTATACACCCCCTCCTTTTTTAGCACAATATCAACATTTCATTTGATCAAATAGACAGTTACCTACTACAAGAGTATCACTGTGTATGTGTGTGTGAAAACGCTCTGGAAATGTTGATTTAAAGCTTTACCGTTAGACTCTGATGGTGTAGACAGACTTTCAGCTGCTTTGCTCTTCTTTGATTTCTGAAACAAGAAAGGAAATGATCACAAATGAAATGATTTTCTCACTTCCTTATCTAATTAGATTTAAGAATGACTCACTTTGGTTTTGGCTTTGCTCCTCCTCTCCTCCATCTTCTCCTTCAGCTTCTCCACTTCCTCCTTTGTGCCATTGAGCACCACCACATCGTCGTCTCTGAACGGGTCCCCACACTAAAACATAAGAGTGACAGTCCAGGTAAGAGATGATGATGATTTACAGAGTAGACAAACTTGACTATCAAATGGGTGATTATTCAGTATTTTTAAAAGATCAACTATAAGTGAGTGGAATCAGCACAGACAGGATTATACTTTTAAGGAAGAAAACTCTGACCAGATCGAAAAGTAAAATCAAATCCTTAAGTTTAAGGTTTGTGTGCTTCAAGACTCTTTCTTTGAGAGAAAAAAAATCTTCGAGATAAAGATGAATTCACCGATCATCAGCTGTCTTTGACGACCTCATTGTTTTCAGAGAAAAGTCTGAATCCAAATCTCAAAGTGATTAACAAAGGCGACAAACCAACGTCATGATATCTTCAGTTTTTATACAAAAATCTGTGAATTTCGCAGATAAACATCATGTAAAAACATTCATCAAATGTTAAATCTAAAATATTTTCTGTGTTTTTATCTGCTAAACGATGTCCTGACGTATAAATAATCATTTTGATTTGGTAGTCTCCTGCGTGCCATAGAAAAATTGATTTAGTTTCAGCTGCTTATGAAAGAGACCGATTACCTCTTTATGACCTACAAGAGCAAACACAGCCATGAGCATTAAGAACGGCCATCTCTGCAGTCTTTCTATTTGTACAGGGTGAGTATGATACAGGGACGTCTGGTAAATCGTTGATTATCTCCAGACGTCATAACCAGGGTTCCTACAGGTTTCTTATAGTTGAATTTAAGACCTATTTGAGACCATTTTTAAAAACTTTACACCTATTTCACAGCCAAAAAAAACAGTCTGTGAATTTGTGTGAATTTATTTCTCGAATGTGGAAATGTGTGCAGGATGTAAAAGTACAGCATATTGAGTAAGCTGCTGATGTGACACCACCACAACGCGGACACAAACCACAAACAGGTCAGGTGTGAAAAATCGAAGAAAGTCTCAGCAGTTTGACTAAAACTGTGAACGTGTTTTTTTTTAACATGGGTTGAGAACAGAGGGAAGAAATAAAGAAGTGAATGTAAAACATAAGCAACATTTACTATTTGAACTGATAGCAGTGCAAACGAACATACTAAGTCACTTTTCATTAGTTTGTAATCCCTGAACACTTTTTCTATAACCTCACAAAGTGAAGCAAACTCACTCCACGTTGAGCATGTACAATAATAAAATGTTGCTTATGACATATCAGTATTAGTGACGTACTTTGATACACTCTTTAAAAATATATCAGTAACAGGATTTTGAATATAGCTGCACATTTTGAATAAACATCTAATTGTTATTATTTTGACTTTTACTGCAATTGATAGATTATTGTGAGATTTTTGAGAGGGGTTTATACCAAACAAATTTGTATGATTAAGTCTGTAATATATGAAGTCATATGATATGACATTTCTGCAGCATGACATTTATTTTAACAAACATTTAGCCTTAAACAAATATTACACCTTCTAGTGAAAACTGCCTTGGAAATTTGTGATTTACTTAATTGTGCAACCCTGATTAAAATGCAGGATTTATTCCTAATTAAAGCATTTATTCTGTTATTGACACTTTCACTTAAGTTAATTATGTGAGTATTTATTGCACTACAGTTTAAACTAGTGGTGCAACGGATCATCATTGATCCGTGATCCGTTCGGATCGACGTATTCGGTTCGGCACACATGTGATCCGCGGATCGATTTCTGAAAGCGGAGAAAGGAGGAGCTCGAACGCCCCGCGACACTTAAATCCCCTGTATGGGAGCATTTTGGCTTCCCTGTCAATTATGATGAAGAAGGAAAGAGGTCAGTGTACAAAACTGCGACGGAGTGTAGGCACTGTGGCGTAAGAAAGCCATTTGACAGTGGAAACACATCGAGCATGTTCACGCATTTGAAGCGACATCACCCGGGTGTTTTACTGACAGGTGTTGTGCCGTAGATTGCACCCCTGCCGTAGAACGCACCCCCTGCATCCCCTCCACCCGTTAGCTTCTTAAAGTGGAGATAATGATCTCATATTTGATATGAATAGCCTGAATGAAATTATTAAAGGCAAACGCTGTTGAATACATCCAACGTAAGGAAAACTTGTATTATTTCGCCTTGTTATGTACTTTCAACCGCGCTCCCGTTAGGGGGTGCACTATACGGCAGGGGTGCATTCTTTGGCATAACACCTGAGATAACACGGAAGCTGCCCAACAACCGCTCATCACCGCAGCATTTAAGCAGCCTCTTCCTGCGCAATCCGACCAGGCTAAAGCTTTCACAAACTCTATCGGTGTGTTTACAGCTGCAGACATGAGGCCGTATTCAGTTGTGCAAAACGAGGGCTTTAAAAACTGGCTGAAAGTGCTTGAGCCACGTTACGACATCCCATCGCGCACACCCTTCATTTTTGGTTCATTGTTACATTTTAAAGGAAGGAGATATGCCTGTATATTGTACTTTAAGTTGTTTTTCATTAATAATTATGTTAAAAAGAAGATATTATGCCCTGTGCACTACTTTTATATATTTTATTTGTCTTGTTTTTTTTTCTTTTTGCTGATCCGAAAAAATGATCCGATCCGTGACTCTTGATCCGAGGAACGATCCGATCCGTGAGTTTTGTGATCCGTTGCACCACTAGTTTAAACATTATATTTTAACATGGTAAGACTACATTTCTTCGATACTAATGTTAACTACAGCTGAATGTGTAAAATAGCCGGTGACTTTTCAACGCTGACAACTGGATACTGTCTGTTGTATGTTGTTCTATATGGACCGACTATAAATCGATGTCTCTACAGTTACAGCCGTTGGGAAAACGGGCAGACGACCACATCCTGTAATCTTCCTTACAGCACACGCGTTACATTAATTTTTTAAACCCTTTTACACAATTAATCAGTTTGTATCAAGCCCTGAGCTCCTGACTTTTTCTCCTACATGATCAGGAGTCAGAGATATTGATTTCTGTCTGTGTGAGTGATTTAGTTGCCAGGCAACGATGATAACAGTGCTGCTCTCTTCAATTCTCCATAAAAAGGCGGCATGGTGCTCAGTGTAGTTCACCAAGGCCATAAATCCGCCTGAAGCATAGAAATGATTTTATTCCGCTGATAAATTTTCAACATCTGGATCTTTAAATGGATTTTAGTTTCTGCAAACGGCTTCCTAGTGGAGTTTAAGGTAAGCTTTTACTTTTCTGCCAGCCAAACTGACCAGTAACCTAACAGTAAATTTAAAAACTGATCCAATAAGTTCGATTATTTCTTAAATTAAAAAAAAAAAACGATTGTGTGCTATGCGACTGCGCGTTAGTGCAAACTTGCGTGAAGATTTCACTGTTTGTTTGTTTGTTTTTATTATATTTGTTATAACACATCTGTTACGGTCCTCTATATAGGCTGTCTGGTAAGTGGTTGAAAAAAACATTTTAATTCTTTGATTTGCCTGATTAATATTTACTATAATCAAGTTGCACCTCACTGGAAACGCAGACTTCCTCCACAACCACCACTACGAATCATCAGAGGTCCCTACAGCTGATTCTTATCCCATACCAAAAAGGCCTAAGAGTCAGAAACCCCTGACAACGGTGTAGTTGTGTTGATAACTTGTGGGTGCTGAAGCTTTTTCTGCTTTTTCATTATAAAGGTTGCTGATGAGTGAATTATTTCACTGTTAAATGAGAGAAAGGCATGTTTTATAGACAATATTATGCATTTAAGTAAAAGTCTGCAAAAAGATTAGTTACTGTCTTGACCACAGAGGGCGCCAAACTCAACATCAACTTGTGGTTCCTTTCAAAAGTGGCTCTAAACCTTTATCATTTTGTGTGTGCAGTCCACTCAGTCCACAGTGGGAAGGCTGAGAGGAAATTAACTGACAGACCCACAGAATAGTATTTTTGTTTGATAATATGAACTATTTGCTTCGGCTCTATGTCCATTATCACACAGACCTGTGATAAATTCCTCTGACATGTTAACTGGAAGGTTGGTGGTTCGACTCCCCCCTATACTGAGTCTGTCTGTTGTGTCCTTGGGCAAGACACTTAACCCACCTTGCTCCCAGTGTGTGTCCTCCACTGGTGTATGATTGTAAATGATGTTTGGTGGTGGGCGGAGAGGCCGAGGGTGCAAACTGGCAGCCACGTTTCCGTGACTACTAAGGTAGTTTACCACCACCAAGGTGTGACTGTGTAAACGAATGAATGATGTATCCAATGTAAAGTGCTTTGAGGGTCTCTGATAAAGCGTTAAAAATATAATGTAAAGCATCATTATTATTATTATTATTATAATTATTATTATTATTATTGTAAGTTTGTGATTAAGAAGATCATGTCAAATTTTAAAAGCTTTTCAGCTCATTCTGACATGAAACACAAGGGTCACAAAAACACCGTCTTGCATTCAGCTGCATTAAACAAAGTTTAAGTGGACATCACTCTCTTTTAAAAAGCTCATAAGTTCGTCACATACAGTAAATGTTTTATTATTTTTTAAAAAGCACAGAAACAAGGTTTGTTGTGCAGAACAGGGAAGGAGATGTCGTCCCATTTTGACTTGCAAAGTAGTGTTTTGCCTCTCTGTCTTAATGGAAAAGGTTTCTAAGGTATCTGTGGCTGCGTTGAGTTGAGAGAAACAGCAAGTTGTAAAATGAAAATATTATTTCTTTATGCAAATGGATAGTTGTTTTTATGATGGGGGAAAAAACACATAGGCATATAAATTCTCCAAAACACTTGTATGTAAAGAGAAACATCCAAATGAGTTCCCTGCAACTTTACTTCGCTCTTGCAATTTATTTGCATGCAAGACACCATGAGTTTGTTAAACATGACAGAGGAGCTTCTGCGTCAAAGTTAATGGAAAAGCACACTATCTGAAAAAAACAATAATTGAACAGAGCCGGAGGACAGAATCACAGGAATCTTTAACTCCAAAACTTCACTTACATAAGCAGCATGAAAACACACACACACACACACCCACTCATGAACACAAACATTAAACCTCTGAGTAACCAGCAGAGGGTCTATTGTGTTGTAAAGCAGGCTCAGTAGTGGGTGGGAACTCCGGCCATGTGCTCTGTCCAACACAAGAGGGATAATCTCAGAAGCTGACCACGCAGCAAACAAACTGTTCGACACTCTGCCGCCGCCGCTGCTGCTGTTGCCACAGATGACACAGGACACGGGTGAGCCGAGAGTCTTATCAGCAAGTCAGCGAACAAGTCAACCAGAATCTCGCGCCTCAGCAAAAGAGGACAGGAGGGAAAGAGAAAGCGACAGAGAAGGGACGCTGGATTATTAACTGCGTGCTCCTGTAGCTGAAATCTAATAGAGGAGATAAAGAGGAGTCTGGATGATATGGAAATAAATACTGTAAAATGGGAAAGATGCAAAACAACAGTGAGTATAAAACTACATGTGGGAGGAGAGTGGAAAAACCTCTGAGAATGAGTGTGTGTTGGTAGGTGGGAGTGTGTTCCTGTGTGTCAGGTGTACGCCTGGGTGTTACTGCTGGTAACCAGGCAGGGACGGACCTCGTCTCGCGGGGGGATGTTTGGAAGGGAGGGAGGGAGGAGCGGGCGACCTCACCGGCACTGAACTGAAGTCGCGAAAAGAGCCAAACGCAGAGCGGTCTGTCTCAGTCTGACGGGGTCTCACAGGAAGCAAACTCCAACATCATGAGCTGCCAGATACGAGGAAACTACCGAGTCCTGCTTCTACCTTCAGAAGAATAAAACTGCTGCTGCTGCTGTTGTTGTTACTCCTCCTGTTAATGATGATGACGGCGCAGATGGAAATCTCTCGTCTTTCCCTCTGGAGTCAGGATGGATTGTGTTAACAAGCTCTGAGCTCTGTTTAGGTAACAGATCTAGCACTGATGTCCGACGCTTTTACGCTTCATCGCAAGGACTACAGACTAAACAGCCTTGAAGGTAACTCTCTCACCTTGCAAACACTGTCTGCATGTGCGTTAAGCTTTAAAAGATGCTTGAAATATGTAAATCACAGATGTCAAGTGTCTCGGTTTGACCTGGCGAGTGAGGTAACCTCAGAAAACAAAGTGCAAGCTTGTTTATTCACGTGTGTCTTCTTTACAAGGTGTTTGTGTGTGTGTGCGTCTGTGCGTTGGAGACGAGAGGATTAGAAACACAGACATTTCCATAGCAGCCTGTCCTCTATGGAAATCCATATCTGTGGAGCTACAGGGTTTCAACAAGTGGGAGGATTAACAGAGAAGCCTCCACTGATGTGGGATTATGAGCAGCCTTCAGTGGTAATGAGGGGGGCACTGGGAATATAAGTGCGAGGGAGTGTTGTATCTATGTTTCCCTGTGTGCCACATTGAGGATATTTTGCTCGAACGTGATCAAATTTAGAAAAAAAAACTAAAAATGTGACTTCAGCCCATAGAGACGTCACAGTCTTAGTTGCAGTAAGTGAAACAAACACGATATTTTAAGTTTCTTAAACTTGGAAACGTTTACAGGCAACACCAACAGTTCAGGCTGCTCTAATTTCTTTTTTTTTTTACAACATCTTAAATAGAAAAAAAACGACAAAACTATTATTTAAAAACGCCAGAGCTCTGCACACACAGGAACACGACACGCCGCTGTTTATTGCACTTAATATCAGTTACAACGTGGAAAGCGAGTGTTTGGATAAGGTTAAGTTTGATATGAAGTTATTTTCTCCAGAGATAAGACGAGTGAGACACACACACACACACACACACACACACACGCACACACACGAGAAGTCACGAAGCTGAAATCAATTTTTAGCAGCCTACAAGTCGGGCCTTGCATGCTGTGTGCTGCTGCTACCCAGAATTTAACCAAATTTTGACAGACGGGAGCTTCAAATAGAGCAGATGAAGCTCGACACTTAAAAACAGACACGCCTGCAACATGCATGAGGCCTGCAGAATAGACCAAATGCAAACTATGACTCAAAATCAGACGCAATGCATCGTGTAAAAGTCTGGTCTGTGCTTCAATGGGGATGAAACTATAAAAAATAGTCAGTGGACATCAACATCTCGAATATCAGACCCCGTTCTCTGACTGAAGAGTTGATGTTCATGAAAATTAAATGTGTTCAAATAGTCCTTCACATTATAATTCACATATATCTATTTATTCAAAGATGGTTGTAGTTTCACAGCCTCATGAACCACACAAATGAATAAATTAAAAATGAGTAAAAATAAAATGAGACATTCAGCAGCTGCAGCGTTCAGAAGCCCACATGTCAGTGTCAGCAGCTCCTCCTTTTCAGGGTCCTGCCCCTCTCTTATCTCTCCTTCAGTTACAGCGTTTTGCCAAAACTGATATCTCACACAAGACGTTGTTTATTTACTTAATGCTATCTAATGAACTTTGCACCTTTCACTGCTGCTGTGTATCTGAGTTTTCAGATCTTGTCACATGAGTCTTCCTGTGCGTTTCCACTGTTTCTTCCTAACTGAAGATTATTTATCTGTGCAGCATTTCCAGGTGCGAGAGTCTCTTTATTTTATTTATCCGGACTCTTTTTTTTTTAGTCAAAGTGCTTTTCATCTAACCTCACTTGATCACAGGATGCTTCGACTGTGTCTGTGTGTTGTTCAGATAAGATAAGAGGAACTTTATCATCTTGTAATTACATAAAAGCAAAGACAACAACCTCTAACCATGGAGCTGTTTATTATTCCCACATAATAATTGGCAGTTGCTCAGAAGTTTTACACTTTTGCATTAAATAAATCATTGATTAACCAACTCGCTCCCCTCCTCAGGTCAACTTCCGTGCCTTTTCCCAGCAGAGACGACAGATCTCTAACAGAAACAATGAGGAGATAGGCTGATAGGAGATAGGCTGGGTTGTTGTTGGTATCACGTCATCTCTAAGTGTACTTTGCTTCTCTGTTTCAACGAATGCTGCTTAACAGTTAACTTTTATGGATTTTATTTTGGTCGGGATCCAAGAGAAGAACAGCCTCCTTTTTTTACAGCCCAATAAAAATCTGATTCATTCATTTTTATTTGAGTTATTCTACTAATAAATGACTACTTATAAACTACTTACAAACTTGCTGCCGGTTGTGTTTCTCATCTCTGATTCTTGACACTAAACTACATTTCTTCTTGAGCTAAAAACCGGCTTCATCAATTAGTGCTAACCTACATTTTTAACCCTGTTTAATATTCCTCAGGACGCTCCTTAAAATAACTGATCTGGATGTTTTTTTTTTTGCAGGCGTTTTATCTGTGGTGCTGCTGTCTGGATACGGAGGAGCTCAGTTATTATGTACCAGCTTGACGGGACCAAATGCAGCTTCTTGTTCTGCCTGGGGATGAGTATTATTATCTGCTCGGTCATTTACCTGAGGGCCAGAATGCCAACAGATCCTAAACCGCAAGAGACCCTGAGTTCCCCGCTCTCTGCCTTTGAATGTAAAGCTTTTCTGCCGGGCAAGGAGAGAGGAGTGCAGGAGCATCATCAAAACTGTCAGGTACATGTCGAGTTACTTCTTTGATTGGCTTTTTAATATACTGGCTGTTATTGTTTTCCACTTTTATCGAAATGTCACTGGTTAAGATAATCAGAAAAGGCTCATATTTAAACTAATGACTTATACTTTTCAATAAAACAATAACATTAAAATTTGTATTATGAACCAACTTTATACAATAGTTATATTTGGTTCCCACAGTTGTGAGTAACTGTTGTCGACATGTAGGGCTGCACGATTAATCGATTTTCAAATCGTAATCCGATTTTCTGATTTTGATTATGTTAAAAATAATCAAATCGTCAAAAAGATTTTCCTCACTTTCATGAGCAAACATGGCGTTTGCAAAAGAAGGGGATAATTTCGTGGTTAAATAGGACAAGAACAAGTCAGTCGTGTTGAATTGGTACGGCTTCACAGTTTCAGATGAAGAGCAAACCACTCCCCGCTGCAAAGTCTGTCTGAAGGTGGTATCAACCCGTCCACACAGGAACGAATTCAGGAGTAAATGCGAACGCTTTTAGTCGTATTGGCGTTTCATCCACATGGAAACAGCGTTTCGGGTGACTGTAAACAGTACTTTTTGAAAACAGGTCAGAGAGTGAATAAATCTGTAAACGACGACCATTTCATATCCGTGTGGATGTCTATCTGCATCTCTGGAAACGATCATGTGACACACAGCGTAACTCTTTTATGGCGCCTGCGTATGTCCGACCAAAACAACCTTTATACACATGCTCTGTACTCTTCTTCTGTCTTTTGTGCATTTCCTGAGCAGCGTTACAGCGACACTTACAGGCTTGGCATATGCACTACATCATTTTCAGTGTTCTCTTTTTAAGGGATGATAGAAAAACTTTTTTGAAGTTGTCACTGAATAAAAAATCAAAATCAAAAATCGAGTTTTCAGAGAAAAAAATCCGTACTTTATTTTTGGCCAAAAATCGTGCAGCCCTACTGACATGTATAATAACCATGTTTGTTTCTTTGTTTTTAGGTGGAAAGTTTGATTCTCAACAGTGACCTGCAGTGTTCGGCTCTGATCAGAGACCTTCACTTCATCACCGAACCTCTTAGCCAAGAGGAGAGCGACTACCCTCTAGCGTACATTATAACCATTCACAAAGAGCTGGGGCTTTTTGTGCGTCTTTTGCGTGCGATTTACGCACCACAAAACGTCTACTGCATCCATGTGGATGCTAAGGCTCCATCGGAGTACAAGGAAGCTGTACAGAGGATACTCAGCTGCTTTAAAAACACCTTCCTCTCCAGCCGAAGTGAGATTGTGACCTACGCTGGGTTTTCCCGCTTGCAAGCAGATCTGAACTGTATGGCGGATCTGGCCGAGTCCAAAATAAAGTGGAGGAAGGTGGTGAATCTGTGTGGACAGGATTTCCCTGTAATGACTAACTTGGAACTGGTGCGGTATCTGCAGAGCAAAGAGTGGAGGGACAAAAACATGACACCCGGGGTGAAGCAGCCAGCGCACATGAAGCACAGGACTCTGTTCCAGTACAAAGAGATCACGGGGTCTCACGTAACTCCAAAGGGGCGGCATCAAAAGAAAGATCCTCCTCCACACAAGCTGCAGATTTATTTTGGGACAGCCTACTATGCTCTCACAAGAGCCTTTGTAGACTTTATTCTGAAAGACCGAAAAGCTCATGACCTGCTGGAGTGGTCCAAAGACACGTTCAGTCCAGATGAGCACTACTGGGTGACACTCAACCACATAAAAGGTAAAACTAACATTTGAAAAAGGAAGAGAAACTTTCTGCCATCTGTGAGTTTGTTTTTGTTTTTCAGCAGGATCCAGAAAAAGCACTCGCCCAATTTTGAGAAAAATTAGTCTCTGTGAAATTTACACAGAAGTGATCATATCAAATCAATTTTAGTCTTGTAAATTTGGATCTATATATTCAGTAGAGGTTTCACTTGCAGACCTGGATATTATAGCAGCATGAAAAACTGTCCTTTGGGGGTCATTGAAGCTCTTACAGTTGAAGTAGATGATGTGATAATACCAGAACACACCAAATGCTAGACTTTTAGGGCACAAATCAGGATTTAAACTTGACATGCGTTGGCTGGTATAAAGTTATGTGATGGCAGGAGAGACCACTTCCTTTTTAATTTCCTTTTCAAACAGTCAAATGTCAAATTATGGAAAGTTTTGTAAGCTGGAGCCACAATGCAGTTGTTTAAAAAAAAAAAATTAGAGCACGTGGGCGGGATCAGTCTCGAAGTGAGCGACAGCAAACTTCTGACTCATTACGAAGAGGCTGCAAAAGTTCCAACTTTGTGGTCTGAAACCAGTTCACGGTAAAAACTGTTGAACTCTTGACTTAAAAGACATCATGATGACTGCAAAGAAGCCCGAATGTGAAGTCATGGAAACACAGAACAAACAAGTACTTTAACTTGATCTCAGCACTAAATTTTTATGATAATGAAACATGATTTTACTGACAACCAGTGAGTCATCTCTGTCTCTCACTTGCCCTTTTAATGGCGGTGTACAGTATACGACTCATTCTGATCCTGATCCTCTTACTGCACCTGTCGTTTAAGAAACAGATTTGATTCTTATTGTGTTAATTTAGAAACTCAGAAAAAACTCAAATTAAATGTATGCAGATTAAATTAGTGATGGGCAGGGCAGTTCTTTGAGATGTACCGAATCACTAGAATCAGTTCACTAAAAAGATTTGTTCAAAAGATTCGTTCACCAAATCACTGAATCACTTCACGTTTGGCAGGAGAGGCCTGTGACTCCGACCTCCTGAACTGAGTGTTTGGCTGTGTTACTTTGGCAAAAGTCATGATGTTTTAAGTGTAGTGGAATATTGTATGCCATTTATCAGGTCTGCTCAGTAAATTGGCTCACTGAGTGATTTAAATTCACACTGAACATGCACCCTTGCAAACCGCTGCAATGATAGGATGCTGCGGGTTTTATGCACTATTTGTTACATGCTGTGTCCCATTGTATGCAAGTTATTGTGGTAGCAGTTTAGCAGTAAAAAAAAAAAAAAAAAATGTGGTCCCTCGTTCGCCGGCTGCTGGCCTGGCAATGCTGTTTCTAACTTCAGCTCAACTGAAGTGAGAAAACAACGAATCCCTTGAGGAAGTGATTCGGTTCAGTACGTTCCCTTAAATGGTTCGGTTCTTTTTAATGAATCGTCCACGAACGAAACTACACTAGATTAAATGTCATTAATATTCTTGGCAGTGAGGCTCGTCACGCTGACAGGACTCATGGGAAACCTCTCTACTTGACTACAGACTAAATGTTGCAGTTTAAGCTACATTCAAGAAGTAACACTGGTTTTGGACAGCATAGAGAGACTCTAAATGCATCATCAGCCTGCAGTTGTAATAAGAGGACTGAATTCAACCATTTTCCAGTTAAGATAATTGATCTCTTGGAGGTCACTATTTCTTAACTTGACTGAACTCCATTGAGGGCAGGAGACAACATTTTTCTGACCTCTTCTTGCACCTCCTCTTCAGATCTTGAGATGCATAATCAAGTTTGTGGTGATAAAGGAGAATCATCTTAAATCATCTGTGTTTAATAAGCATTATAAATATCTGTTTACGTCACTTAAAAACACTCCTCTGCACCTTATCAGTCATACATATCAGCAGAGATGTCCACATCATCTGCAGATCTGATGATTCACTTTTTTAAGTAAAGCAGTGATGCACAATATTGTGACAGTTTCCTACTTTCTATCAGGTCACAGCTTATATTTAAACATCTAAATACACTTCAGTCAAGTCTAAAGAGATCACATTTGGAAGGACCTTTTCCAAAACACCAAATACAAGCAACACTGGTCTTCTCGCAGACACTAAAAGGGAAGTGAAAAAGTCTCTTGGTCTTGTTTCTCTTCAGAGGAATCAATGACGTGAACAAACGTTGTTCTTTCCACAGCATATCTGTCCTGATGTGCCGATTAGAGGGACTTTATAAACTGAAAAGTAGAAAACAAAGAAAAAAACTATTCCTGATTTTTTCCAATGCCAATTTTGATACAGATCATTTTAGGGAGATAAACAGCCTCTGATATAAACAAGTCATTCACGTGATTTTTGTGCAATTTAAGGGGTAGGGCTAAAACATGTATGCCCTCGAGCGATCTCTTTTTTTTTTTCTTGTTTTAACAATCATAATAGGGCTGTCCTCTGATAAGAAAACTGTACTTCCGGTGATTTAGACTAACCCTGTCTGTACGATTCTCATCACTAAGTTTGAGGATGTGGCTTTGCACTAACAAACCAGCAAGATAAGCGGGTCAGCAGTGCGTGTGAATGTGGCGAAGACCTCACCGCAGTCAAAAAACAAGGTCTGACTGTGGTGCAGATTTATGTTTGACAGGATATGCTTACAAACAGATGTAGTTTCGGTTGTAATAGAGAATATACTCAAAGTCATTAGTACTTCCTGTCTGTTTTAGACGACATGTGTAAAGTTGAAACCCTAACTTCTCATGAGGAGCAGCACACAGCCCCTCCCTGCGGGGTGCATACGGGAATCCCTGCCACACCGGAGACGTTTAACTGTAAAGCTTTTATAATTCAGTTAGGACACATAATCATGTTTTGGTTTGTTTGGTTATGTGTTTGAAGAAGCTCCAGGCAACCACATGGACGGAGGCTGGGCAGGAGATATCCGGGCAATCAAGTGGAGGGATCAGGAGGGGAGGGCGCATGACGGCTGCAAAGGTACGGTACAGGAGTGGGTGTTTGTTTGGTTTGATTGGTGTACCTCAGGAGTTATCGCTGGTCTTCTCTGAATGGTCCACAATACATCTACACTCAGATCAGATTATTCACCAAGTATTTTTCTCTCCTGAGTCAACTTTGGTGACCAGATTCACAACTATATTCACAATGAAGACCTAAATCATATCTCATCGCACCTCCCTCATATTCTACCGGTGTACTAAGAAGTAAAAATAGTCTTTGTCTTACATGTTTGGCTTTTAGACAGGACAGAGAAAAACGTCTCCGCCTAAGCCAAGATTTAGTCAACAGGAGATGATAAGAAGACTGATGCAAGGGATTGCGAAGCCGGTTTGAGTTTTGAGAAAAGGCAGTTTGTATTATTTGTTCTTCATTTTATTTCTGAGTCAAATTATGCAGTTTTGACTTTGGAACAAAAACGCCGTACTGCAAATACATTTGAACTTTCAGATTTGACATTTCAAACTGAATTTCGGTACATATTTGCTGGGGCATATTTTGAAAATTAAAGGTCCGTACGTACCGGGACCATTTTTTCCGTGCGATTATATATATCCAACATGGCCGACCGTCTGATTGTTTACGTGTCGGAGAACAGAGTGCTTTTTGAAAATAAATATTACAAAGATAACAACCTGAAGGACAACATGGCGTCAGATTTCTCATATGACGATGGTTTGTGTGCTTTAACAGTTTGATAAACGTCTTTGTTTTAACTTTCATCTGTGCTGAGAAAAACCATGTGTATTTTCACTGTCTCAAACTTAATTGTGTTGCTGTCACAGCACCATTAGGTCTCGGCTGTTCCCTTACGTTTATGGATTATAGTTTAATGTTCTTATCTGGTACTGGCCCCGACTCAGTACATGCTATCATGACAGACAGACATCTCAACACTAGAGTCTAATAAGAACTGAAAACACTCAGTCTGCTGTTGGGTCAGTCTTCTCGCTTCCACCCAGGATGCGTCTCCCCCCCTCTAGAAAGTCGCAAAATCGCATCGCGCTTCATGTGTACAGTAGGGCGCATCAAAATTTGCCTCTGAATATTTTGTAATCTCACACCGTATATTTGCATCGTTCCCAGTGTGTAAGGACCTTAAATCTTAAATGGATGTTTCTTTTACATTTGAATTAAGTTACAGAATGATCAGTTTTGAATAAAAAAATAAGGCAATTGCAGTTTGGATTATTTATTTTTAATTTTATTTATGAGTCAAGAAGTGCAGGGACATCCTGAAAATGCAAATGCATTTCTGTTGATCTGTTTTCATTTGAATTAAAATACAAATTTGCTTCCATATTAAAGGAGATATTTTGCAATTTAAAGGGAAAAAAAAGATCATATCTGCAGCGGCGGCTCGCTCAATGACAAACACCTTAATAATCCCTCAATGCTTTGGCAATAAAGAATCAAGCTTATGACCGTCTGTACCAGTTTGAGGCTAAAGTTGTTTTCATGTTCCAGGGCGTTACGTCCGGGACATCTGTGTCTACGGAGTGGAAGACCTGCCCTGGATCATGAACAAGAAGAGCATGTTTGCCAATAAGTTCGAGAGTGACACGTTTCCAGAGGCGCTGGATACCATGGAGCTGTGGCACCGGGACAAAGTGTTGAACCAGGCGGCTGTTCCCATAGAGCCCTCATGGCTGCTCGCAACATGGAACAACTCGAGAGGGGACTACTTCAACGGCAGTGCTGGAGCGTGAAACAGCTGCCGGTATATATATTTTAAAAAACTCAGTCTACATGCAGTTCTGAATATTTGCACTCATTTGGTAGCTGTGAATGTAAAAAACTAAGGCAATGTGCACGACCAGAAGGCGCACAATACTGTGGAAAAGCTACTTTTTAAGAACTACTTTGTTTATTTATAAAACTGTAAGATGACTGTATTTTGTAAATGTCAGAAAGCGGTGCACAAGCTCTAGATGACTACAATATATTTACACCAAAGGGATGCAGTAACAGCTATTTTAAACAACCTGCAAGTAGAAAACAAATACTATTTTAAAGTGCAGTGTGTATGGACTTGGTAAAAACTGAATATTTCTGAGTATGTAATCACTTGAATATGAGTCTGTTTTGTTTTTGTTAACTTCAAATGAGCTTTTTATATCTACATAGGAGCAGGTCCTCTTACATGGAGGCCGCCATCATGCACTACCATGTTTTTTCTGTAATGCAAACTTGACAAGCGTGTAGTTTAAGTGTTTCTTGTCATGTGGCATTAACTGGTTTGAGGACCAAGACAAGACAAAGGGAGTGGTTATAGTCCTGCAGAAATAATTTGTCCTTATAGACATTCTGATGGTAATAACTTCACAAACTAAGACTAACACTTTCATATATCAGAAGTGCATCTTGCCCTTGAAAGCCACTGTAGCTTCACTCATGTGAGGGGTATGTAAGGGGATGTTTCAATGTAGAATCCGGCTGCTAGATTTCTTTAAATACTCCAATGTCTGCACACTGCCCAATACTAAGTATTACACAAATGACTGAATATGCATTTCATATTGTTTAGTTTGACTGAATGTTTAATACTGACTTGTGTGGTCCTGTTTGAACACCTGTTAAAAAAAGAGCTACTGCCTTTTCTGAATAAATTATTTGAAAATAAGAGGCGTAAATAAAGATGATAGTGTCATGAGAAAAACTAACTTGTTGTCTTTCAGTTCCTCAGCCAACCAGTCGAGTTAGAGCTTGAAGATTTTTCTACTTTTACTTCTGCTTTTTATTGTTCATATTAGGAATGGGCATTTAAAGACAGTGCTTTAAAGATTAATCATAGAAATTAACGATCAATCATCGATTTGATTATTTTTTTATGCAAGTGGCAGAAAATACGCAAAAACTGCGTCATCCCCCAGACAAACTCACTTGCACTTCCTACCCACCCAGCTACTATGATAACTGTTGTTTTTTTCTCATTCATGAAACGCTAAAATCGGGGACGTTTCCGGGGACAACCTTAGCACAGGACTGGTAATCCAAAACGAGGACTGTCCCCCGAAATCGGGGACGTCTGGTCACCCTACAGATCCTCCTTGCTAGTGCTAGCAAGGAGCTGATGTTTGGTTGAGACTGAGAGTACTCAGAGGATTCATTAACCTCAGTCTGATGTATGTGGTTCAAGTGGTCCACCATTGGGGTCATTGTCGTGTTTTACTTGTACATGACATTGCAGTGTTTGCAGCAAACCTCATCATTTTTCCACTTCGTCTTTCTTCATGTTTGTCTCGACTTTTACAAAAGCCCGCTGACGCTGTATCACTCCCCTCGCAAAATGTCAAAATCTTTCGCAACCTAAGGTCACTGCATTTCTTCAACATACACACACACACCGACTGGACGAGTAGCAGAGGTTGATCTTTGTTGGAAAGCAGCTGGAGGATGGACACACACTGTCAGCACTTTTTAATAACGTTAATCGATCGAAATTTTGCGCAATTAGCGTAATTCTTAACGGTTAATTAATCAATCATCGATTGATCACGCCCATTCCTAGTTCAAATGATTGACCTTGGCAAAAACTTTCACTTTCTACCTCTACCAAAGACTAAGAATTAAGAATTCTCTGTCACAGACTGTATTCAGATCACTAATAGCACAAAAATTCATGGGAGTATCTGTAAGCAAAGCAGGAGAGTCATGTATTGCCTTATAAGCCTATCTGAGTGGATACTTCATGAGAAAGGGTCCGTTTCCCATAAAAAGCACTGAAACATTCATAAATGGTTTCAGTCCCTATTTCTGGCTAAAGTCTAACATCCAATCCCTGCCAAGATGCTTTGACTTCCACAGAAACAACAGCAGGAACTGGATACCATCTGTTGCAATGCTTTATACCTCATTACAGTCTTTCGTGAGAAATCACAAAAATAGCTTTACATATACTTAAACCTAACCAGTCAGGACCCAGACTGACTCAGAGGCCTCCTACTGTGAGATCCCCCAGTGGATCTATTTGGGTCACTGCCAGGCACAGCTCTCAGAGAGAAACAGCGAAGCCCACAGACACAAACAGACACTATCTGCTCCAAACAATAACAGATTTAATGACTTGTTTGTTCAAGAGTTAACAGTATTATTTCAACACTTGTCTCTCTGTCAGAGAAACTGTTAGTGCTCTTGTAACCACTGTAAAAATGCGAGTAAATTTCCATCACTGCTTATTCACTAATGTCATGAACTGTCTGTGTTTGGGTTACACAAACAGAGACCTCATCATAAGCAGAATATAGAAACCTCACTGACCTTGTGGCAGATTTCTGTCTTGACCTCCTTCATGGCTCTGTCAGAAAAGACGCAGCCGCAGGTCTGCAGGTAACAAAACCTGAAAGTAGTAACAATGATCATGTATTAGAAGACGCATTTTCATTCATCCTTTTTCACAGCTTTACACTTGAAATGAAAAGCCTTAACAGCACAATCACAGCTCATCTGAAATATGATATGTGATTAGGACTGAGTGTGTGAAAATGTTTCCTCACGATTCAAACTGTCGTCTCGTTCGTTACCTGTGCTTGCCGTTCATCTCCAGCCCAACAACTGGGCAAATAAACATGCCACAGTGGATGTCTTCATATCTGTCCCCTTTGGTGTTTCTTCTCTCTCCCTCCCACTCTGGGTTATCAGTCAAGTTAAGCTCTTTTATATCCTGCAAAGAGGGAAGATGGACAGACATGGAATAACTCAGTAGATTCCAAAAGACTATAACTGCACAATATTGGAAAAATCAGACATAGCACTGTATTTTCTGTCTGCAATATTGATCACAATCTCAAAAGTACAGCAACTTATCCCATGTAAAAGTGGTGTGTTTTTCATGTTTATGTATACAATATAAAAATATTGACAATCATCTCTTTCACAGCTTATAATTTGTGACCCTAAGTATATTTCCCTACAGTTTGCTTTTGCCAATTCAGTTTGCAATACATGGGTTGCAGCAAAGGACAGGACATTTGACACATTCACTCAATAATACACGTGTCTGTCGATGTGTAAAACAGCTGAAGGGTCCAGCCATAAAGTGCAGAAGTGGCAAGTGCAATTGTGGCAATAAATAAAAATAAATAAATGGATTTAAAAACCTTAACAAAAGTAATAACAACCGTGTACACTACACACTAACACTGGCATTTAAAAGCCTAATGGCTGAAGGAATACAAGAACTGCCATATCTGTTTTTTTTTCAGATATCCATATTCAGATGTCCATTGACTGCAGCGGGGTGACGCAGCTCAAGGAAGAACATTTATGATCATTTCTTCATGGAAATGCTAACAGACCGAGACGCTAAGGCAGAAGAACTACCACGTCTGCTGTGCAAAAGGATTAATATGATGATTACTACTTCAAGGAAATGATAAAGAAATGATCATAAATGTTCTTTCTTGAGCTGCGTCACCCCGCTGCAGTTGATGGACTTGCCTGGAGGTCTCTGTACAAACAAGCAGCTGCTGGAAGAGAGTAGGTGAGTTGTGTTTAGTCTCTTTGCTAAAGAAATTAGGCAAAGTTAAAAAGATGTTTGGTGTCTAGTACTATGGCTGGGACCCTATATGTCCTGTTGATGAAGTTAGGTGCTGTTCTTAGCATTATTTGTGGCTATAGAGTGGCGTTTTGGTTGAGGCTGGTTTATGACTCCTCAGACCGCTGTGTATTGCTATCCTGCGGTCGTTACTAAAGTTGGTATAACTAGAGAAGCAAGCGGTCTGCAACATTCATCTCTGGAGGGGGTGTCTAACTCGGTGTTACAGTGTGTTTGACCCTTAATTAATTTTACGCCGGAATATCCCTTTGATGTTCATTTAAAATCATTGACAAGGACTAAAAACAGACTTACACTTGCGAGGATAAAACAAGATTATATTAGTTTACCTTGATCCCACGGATATGAGTGACTGCCTCAGCATTTGGTCTCTCAGCTGTCTTATCCAGAAGGTATTCGATGACAGCATCTTTGTTGTAGAGCCTGAAAAGAACATAACAAGGATTTTTAACACAGCTCGAAAAACAAACACATCACCTCATTCACTCCACGTCACAGTCAATCATGCACCGATAAATTGGCCAGCCGATCAATTGGTGCAGATTTCCTCGATTTTGGGGGATCAGTGATCGGCTGATCATCCACCGATCTTATCTACCTCAGCATAGGTCTGAAAGTCAGCCGTTGTAGCTTTTTGCTTTGCCAGAATAACAGGCCCGCCCACCAGGTCATGGGTGCACACACAACAGTAATCCGGAGCATGATCAACTGAGCATGTTGAACCCACTACAAGGAGACCTAGCACTCAGGACTCAGGCTTATTGGTGGTTTAAGTTGTGTTGTTAGTTTGTCCCGTAGATTATTATTTTACTGATTCTCTCAAACCTTGTGATTTCCTTTATTTGTAAAAGCAAAATACTGATGTGCATTTTATTTTAGTAAGAGGCTCAAAACAAGCCTGCAGTATGACCTGTTGCACTAGTATTGTTAAATTTTAAAACGTGGAAAATAAAAGACTAAAGGAGCTGATATAGTTTAGTAGTTTGGACAACAATATTCTAAACTTTTCATTTATATTTGAGAGAACTACCTCATGTGCAGTTGAGACAAATACAAAAGTTTGTATTCTTTCAAAAGTGTTGTTGAATGTTTTTCATTTAAATAAGATTGGAGCATCAAAGGTGAATGTTGTCAGTTATACAAAAAAATCGGTATCGGCAGGTCAAGCTATTTAAAGATCCGTGATCGGTGCACCCCTAGTCACAGTATCACGTCCCCTTATTTTCTCTATCATATCCAGGCAGCACATTCATTCATCTGTACACCTCCCAGCTGATCCACAGTCAGTCAAATCTCACTGAATCCACGTCTTACCTTCCGAGGTCACAGGAAACGATGGGACGTTTGAGTCTCTCCTGGGACAGGGCACAGTATTTCCATTTGGCAGCCAACTCTGCATTTTTATCAACCTGGAAACACAAATATGAAGATATAAGAGGATTACACATAAGAATGATCAAATCACGGTTTATTAGCTTTGTTATCTGACGTTAGCATCATCAGTGAGCGTATTTACCTTCTATATAGCTGGTCAGATAATATGTGTCTCACAAGAAACATCAATTAACATACTATTAAGTTTTATTAAGTTGTAAACACATACAAAAATACTGTAAATTTACACAAAATAGTTCATACGCGCTGGTATTCCTGTCTTAGCATGTTAGCTACCGTAATAACCCCTCTGTCGTTCACGGTATAGAAGAAGAGAAAACCCGGAAAAAAAACTCACCTTCTCGACTTTTTTGGGTCCTTTCACCAGCTCGTGTCTTTTAGGAATCGTTCCTCCATCACATCCCATCTTGAAATCTCACTTTCAGTTAAAAACAATAACCCAGTTAGCTGCTCTGTGGACAAAGCTGCTAGCAAGCAGGAAGCACTCGGGTTGTAAACAAACAACGAGAGAACGGGAAAGCTCGCGGGATGTGCCGTTCATTTAAGGGCGCCCTCTACTGGCTGGACCTCAAACTGTCCTAGTGTAGTTTGTAGTTTTTACCACAGTGTGGAGGCAGTGCTTCAAATATTAGTTTGTCTTAATTTATGATATTTAAACTGCCCAGAAGAGATAACACAGAGAAAGAAGGAGAAGTAAGTGGCTTCTTGGTCGAATCTGTTCAGTCTCATGTTAGAGTACATGTCATATAAATGTACAAGTGGGGTTAAAAAGACAAACATGTGATAGGCGGGTGCATTTATGGGAAAAAAAATCACATAACCCTAAAAAAGATTCTAACAAAAGGTTTCTCAATTGTTTTTTATAGTAACAATACATCATGATCTAATATGATTTGACATGTTACTGCACAAGAAAATAAGGTGAATTGCCACTAATATGATACAAAATGATGAGTTACTGTTCCATACTATCAGACAATAACATACCATACAATATGATACGATACATTATGCTATGGTAAGATACGATACAATAAGATACATTATAATACGGTAAGAGACGATACAATACAATATGATACGATACAAATATGCTAATTAGAATATTACATGATCAAAACTTGTATCAGGCACCAGTATTCCTGGTCTAGTATGAATACAAAGGAGCAATAAGGACCTGAAAAATACACGTGGCGATATTAGAATTTTTAGGGCTCGCGACTCTTCTTATTCTTGTATGTCAACAAAATGAAACAAGAATTTTGAAAGGGGCTTTATCCATTGTTCAGTTTTTGGTTCAGGAAATGTATGCAAATTAGTGCAGATTTAATTAGATATTACCTCATTTACATATTCAAACAGAACATTTGACAAAACTTGTAATACAAAAAACATTTGTCTTAATGTAAGTTATAAACTTGGGAAGTTTCATGGTGATATCTGTTAGTGAAAAATTTTACCCTATTTACCTGTGGTGCCTCCAAACCAACATGGACGCCATCGTGACAAAGACACCTTTCTAGCGGTCGAACGTTGGTTAACTTTTAGTTTATTATTAAGGACATCCAATACTATAAAAAAACAGCTGAGAGACCTTTTGTTAGAAAATTTTTGGGGTCAAGTCATATTTGCATCTGACTATAAATCATACTTACCGCTTTTTGTCGAAGTAGGTCCTAATTATTTGTTACTTTACTAATAATTATTTGTGTTCACTTACTTGATTATTTTGTGTGCTTGTGTCTCTGCAGCACCAGGAATACTTCACCAGGTATCAATGGATTAATAAAAAAATGACCTAATCTTTTCTTATCTTGGCTTACCTCATCCTATCTTATCTTTTAGATGTAACTCTATCAATCCTGCTTTTTTTACCAGCATTTTCACTGTGTTTATAAACAACCTGACACAGCTTTAGTCACACATGTACTCATTTAAAAACAATTTACCGGGCTGATTCCATCCTGACTTTCTGACCATCCATCTATTAGACATTTCTCAGTCCACCATTAAACCCAGAACTAGTAAGTGACATTAGTCTGGCTTTCAGGCCTGTTGTAAGAGTGGTCTAAAGATGAAAGTTTCCTTGGAAGATAGTTCAATGAGTGCTAATTAGATCTGTTTCCTGTGCCTTCAAGGCTACAGATTAGTTTACTATCGACGATGCTGTCCAACAGCGACCATTAGTTTGGGGAATACCTCAATGGAGACATCTCTGGCGGCATGACTGATAATCTGTGTGGGAAGCAGGACTGCATAAAAACACAGCTTTGGACTTAATTTTGGGCTGAGAAAAGTAGATTTCAACCTCTTTCCACTCACCACACACAGCCAGCTGCGGTTGTGGTTTAAAAATATGGTAAAATGAACAGATATAAACAAAAAAACATTTCTCCACTTTGCCCGTTGGTTCGATTGGTTCTTCCTGTAATTTACAAATTGTGTTATGTGTCTTATTGAATTTCCCCCCTTTCTCACACAGAGCTAAATGTTTAGTATAGATTTTCATTAGAGGCAATGGAGTGAAAGCTCTGTTAGCAAACTATCTCTGAGAGAGTGGAGCGCCTCAGGCTGATAGTGCAAACCAACACCTCAGGAGCACACAATGCACAATGGTAACTGGACAAAAAGAGTCAGGAACAATGGTGTCCTGTCTTCAGCAAACATATTTAACCGAGTTCAAAACCACAGAGCCAGAATGAGTATGTTGTGAGCAGATTCATGCTGGTTTTACACTGTTAAAAAAACACAGAGCTCTCTAAATAAGCGATGTGAAGAGGGAGTAAAGAGTAGTTATAGATTCAAGTGCAAATACAACCTGCAGCCATACTGTCAATCACAACTTGGTTTAAAACACTCATAAAAACAAAGAAACCTGTTTGGTTTGTATCTCAACTGAATGATGTGAATGTTGATTACATGGCATACCAGAGAAAAAACATGTATGACTTTTATATGTTATGATAGGATACAATATGATATACTGTAATGACCCTTAACTAACAGTACAACACTTTATAATACAGACAAGATACAACATGATTCAGTAGGAAGTGACACGATGTAATACGATATATCATAATAAGATACCACACATTACAACAGGATACAATACAGTACAATATGATGTGATCTGACGTGTTAGGATACAAAACAATAAGGTGTGACTTGATTTGATAAGATGAAATAAAAGTTTGAAGTTAAAAAACATTGCAGAATACAAGCGGAAACAACATGATTGGATGTCATGCTGTAAGATATGCGACATATGAAAGTTGTATGACACAATTTGACAAGAAACTACACAACCTAATACAACTGAATACAATGAGTGACAATACACTATGATCTGATATGAGTTGACATGTTATAGCACAATACAATAAGGTTCATTGCCACTAGTATGATACAAAATAATAAGTTACTGTTCCATACTATCAGATGATAATACACCATGCAATATGACACGATACATTACGATATGATTCGGTACGATACGATACGATACAATACAATATGATTCGGTACGATACAATACAATACAATACGATACAATATGATATCATACAATACAATATGATACCATAAGATATAATAAGATGTGATACAATTGATACGATTTGTTACGATACAATACGGTACGATATGATACAATACAATACCATATGATACAATACGGTACAATACAATACAATATGATACAATATGAAACGATACAATACAATATGATACCAAAAGATACAATACGATGCAATACAATGTGATACGATATGATATATAATTTGATTTGATATGAGATAGTGCAATACGATACTATACCATACTGTACGATAAACCGTGGAGTTGATTGTTTACTTCTTTTCATGTTCTTTATGACTCTAGATTATTAGATTATCATTAAGTATATTCATATCTCAGGGAGCCTGAAGTAGCAACAAACTGAGGATTGCACAGTTGTGTTTTCTGTGCATCTCATTTAGATGTGAGATGCACTTTTTTTTTCTACAAATTTGATCCCAACAGATAAAGTCAAAGTGCGCAGAAAAAAATGTGAGTCTGTTCAAAATTTTCAGATGAGTTCTGAATAACTTTCTCAGATTTTAAGGAGACAAATGATTAACTAACTCCTGTCTGTGTTTCAAAACCAGACTGTGTACCAAGAACAACTGTTTTGATCATCATCTTCTTCAGCGGTGAGTCAAAGCCAAAAGCTCTGCACAGCTGAAATGCTTCCTCTTCCCTTAATCTCCCCCCTCTGATTGACCTCCCTACCACACATATCTCCTCGGCCTGCTGCGGAGCTACCCAGCACGACTGACCCAAAGAAAACCCCAACCACAGAGCGCCCATCCAACCTCATGTTTATACTTCCATGATGAGTCCAACCTGCCCAATCAGACTTCCCCTGCCCGGCCTTGAACTGAAACTGTATACATCTTAACCATCCCAGCCATCCGAAGCGGCCCGTGGAAACCAAGGCTGCATTAATTGCACGGACCGGCCCTGCAAGTGCACCGAGTCCAATGCATTTAGCGTTTCTAATTGGGAAGGAATTGCTGTGTTTACATTGGCGCAAGTTGATAGAGCTGGACTCTTAGCCCGGCATCCAACCGAGCTAAAACCCTCTGAAAGCGAAAAAACCAAGCTGCCTGGTCCCTCAAATCTCTCTGGACAGAGCTGGAAGGGAATTATTTGGAGCAGAGTCGAGGGATATTTACTCAGACTTATAAAGTTGGATGGTGGAGAAGGGCTGATTTTTTTTCTGTCAGTTTTGACCCTAAATCAATCCGGCACTGATATAATTAATCTGTTTTAAATTAAGAGGAAATCAAGATTTTCTTTTTTTTTTTCTAGAAGGTTGTTTTTGCTTGAATAAAGTTTTATTTCAAACTACTTGGCAGGAAATTTACAGGGTGTCACAGAAAAATTATAAGCTTGTGAGGGTTTTGGCTGAAAAATAATATTTAGATTACATTTTTTGTACCAAATTATGAAGAATAGATGTCAGAAACATTTTACAGAGCTGAAAATGATTGATTTAAACAGGTTACTTTATTTTTTTGTGACAAGTTGTAAAAATATATTGAATTTATTGTAACATAAAGCAGGGAAAGTGGCAAATTCTTACATCCGGGAGGCTGAAGAAAGCATTTTTACCCAATCAATGGACAAAAATCAAGCTTTTTAATCAGATAACTTCAATTATTAAAGAAAAATAAATGAACTGACTTATTTTCCTTCCAGAGTGTACCACTTGGATGATAAATATATGCTGCACTATCATAAAGATGATTCACAAAAAGGCTTTTGTGCGACCTCCATAACTTCCTGTAACGACTGCAGTGAAAAACGTGACGCCTCAGAGATCCCAGGTCAAAAATTTAACAGCAAATTCTACCAACCGCACCGTATAAACTCAATAAAACTCTCGCTGTATGAAATATTATTTTTTATTTGTGATCTTAAGTTGAATGGGGAGCTCCGCTGCACTCGGAGTCAGTTATAACAGCATGTATAGAGCCATATTAAGTTCAT